AAATAGCTGCAACAATGGACTCAGACATATCAAAGGTCATGACGATCGTGCAGAACTAAGTAATGTTTCCTTCTGTTATACATAACGTTGCCATGAGTCAGAGCCAATTGACAGCAACAACAGCATGGAGATGGGAGCTTCCATTTTGGTGAACACAATAAGGAAAGGAAATATATATTGGAGATAAATGTTAAGAACAGTTTGGCACGGGAGGTGGGTAGGGAGCACATGCTGGGGAATTTAGTTTGCAGATACCCTTTAACTGAATTCTCAGAGATATAGAGAGGGTAAGATACTTGCCTAAGGTCATACAGCTTAGAAAGCAATAAAGCTATAATTTGAACCCAGGTCAGATCTATGCTATCTTTAAACAGTGACGCCTGACAGGGTGAATACCCCCTAAATCAACGCGGTTAGTGTTTTATTTTAGTAATAATTTATTTCAGGAATAAAATAAATAAACAAAAAAAAGCTCAAGTACATATTGCGTTACGACTCCTACTGAGGAATGTAATAAACATACATATCAGTTTCCTGTATAATTTTAATGGCATGTGGGGGAGAATTTAGAAAAGCGTCCCAGGCAGCTGAATCGTTTATGGGAAAAACTGACCCAGTGCAACCTCCTCATCTCCTAGATGAGGTTACTGCGGTTCTGCAAAGTGAATCGAGGTCACACCCCGAGGCGCAGCCCAGCCAAACCGTACTCACCACATTCCCAGCGGCTCCCTGTCTCGGTCGCGCTTTAATCCTCCGGCGGACAAGGCGGCTCCAAGAGGGCGCCACGAGCGGCGGGCTCCCCGCCAGGGGGCGTCGGAGAGCAACGGGACCCAGGTGAGCCGGTGGAAGACCGGGCGCCTCCTGAGCGTGACGTCACCAGGAAGGTCCTGGCCATTTGCGAGTGGAAAAGGTAGAGATGAGAGAGTCTTCGATGGTGGGAGAAATGGCAAGAGAAGAAGGCACTGAGGCTGGGAATTCTGTTCATTCTGCCCTCCCGGACCTCAGTCTGGCCCCCTCCAGTATTTTCTTCCCACTGTTGCCGCCTGGACCCCTCTGAAACAAGAACCTGACTTTGTCACACCCGTAAAACCTTTAATGAGACCCCCCCACAACCATTGCTTACAGAAAAAAAAAAAACAAGTCCTGCGTGATTTTGTTCCTAGTGGCAGTTGAGTCGGGGCTCATGGTAGCCCTAAACACGACGGAATGAAATCGGACCATTGTGATCCACAGGGTTTTCATTGGCTGATTGATTTTATGTGTGTGTGTGTGTGTGTGTGTGTGTGTGTCTGTGCCTTAAGCGAAAGTTTACAGTTCAAGTCAGTTTCTCATACAAAAATCTATACACACATTGCTATGAGACCCTAGCTGCTCTCCCTATAATGTGACAGCACACTCCTTTCCACACCTGATTTCCTGTGTCCATTCAACCAGCTCCTGTCCCTTTTTGCCTTCTCATCTTGCCTCCAAACAGGAGTTGCCCATTTAGTCTCATATATCTACTTCAGCTAAGAAGCACTATCTTCATGAGTATCATTTTATGTCCCATAGTCCAATCTAATCTTTGAAGAGTTGGCTTCAGGAATGGTTTCAGTTCTGGGCTAACGGAGAGTCTGGGGGCCATGTCTTCCAGGGTCCCTCCAGCTTCAGTCAGACCATTAAGTCTGGTCTTTTTTACTAGAATTTGAGTTCTGCACCCCACTTTTCTCCTGCTCCATCAGGGACTGTCTGTTGTATTCCCTGTCAGGGTGGTCAATGGTGGTAGCCGGGCACCACCTAGTTCTTCTGGTCTCAGGCTGTTGGTTTATGTGGCCCTTTCTGTCTCTTGGGCTAATATTTTCCTTGTGTCTTTGATGTTCTTCATTCTCCTTTGCTCCAGGTAGGTTGGGACCAATTGATGTATCTTAGATGGCCACTTGCTAGCTTTTAAGACTCCAGACGCCACTCACCAAAATGGGATGCAGAACATTTTCTTAATAAACTTTGTTATGCCAATTGACCTAGATGTCCCCCGAAACCATGGTCCCCAGACCCCCACCCCTACTACTCTGTCCCTCGAAGTGTTTGGTTGTGTTCAGGAAACTTCTTAGCTTTTGGTTTAGTCCAGTTGTGCTGCCTTCCCCTGTATTGTGTGTTGTGCTTTCCTTCATCTAAGATAATTCTTATCTACTATCTAGTTAGTGAATACCCATCTCCTCCCTTCCTCCCCACCCTTGTAACCATCTGATAACCAAGACAAAATTTGGTACCAAGAGAGTGGGGTGCTGCTCTAACAGATACCTAAAATGCGGAAGCAGTTTTGAAACTGTGAATGGATAGAGGAGGGGCAGCAGCAGAGGACCAGCGGCAGCAGAGAACCAGCAGCAGCAGAACGAGATGGCTCTGAGCCGACCCACAGAGCGAGAGAGCTGAGTGCCTGTGCGCAGCAGGCTTCCTGGCGGACTGGGGTGCCTCCAGGCACTTATCAGTGGAGCTATGGAGCTTTCCAACACTTGCCCCAGCAGGGCAGATGCGGGTGTGAGGCCTGAGGGCTGAGAGGCCACAGGAAGCAGAAGCTGAAGAGACAAGGAACAAAAGAAGCCAAGCTGCCTCAGTGTCAAAAGGTATGGCTGTGACCTCAGGGGTTTCAAAGGGTGGAGCCATGGCCTCCAGTGCTTCTAAGGGTGGAGTTGCCACTCAGATGGACTGAGAAAATGGTGCGCCTAAAGCCAAGGGAGCAGAGTTGCTGTCCCGATGGGCCTGGAAAGCGGAGCTGAAGCCCAGGGCCCAGGGGCCTTCACTCAGAATCTGGAGAGTGTGGCCAATACCTAGAGTCTGGAGGACAGGCCCATTGTGTAAATTATGTCAGAGAAGTGAGGATTATTTCCGGAGCCTTGAGGGCTAATGTAATGTGTTCTGCTGACTTGCTTGGTGCCTGTTATCCCTTCTTTCCCTCTAGTTTCTCCCATTTGTAATGGAAATGTCTAGCTTGTGCCTGTTCTGCCATTGTACCTTTGGAAGCAGATAACTTATAGTCTAGATTTCACAGATGTAGAGGGATTTTTGGACTTTGGGCTTGGAGTTAAGACTTTTGCTATGATGTGATGGGGTGAATATGTTTTGCATGTTGCAAGGATGTGATTTTTGGGGGGGCCAAAAGGTAGAATGTCATGGATTGAATTATGTCCCCCAAAAAACGTGTGTATCAATTTGGCTGGGCCATGCTTCAAAATATCGTGTGGTTGTCCTCCATTTTGTGATTGTCACTTATGTTAAAGAGGATTGGGGTAAGATTGTATAACACCCTTACTGAGATCACATCCCTGATCCAATGTAAAAGGAGTTTCCCTAGGGTGTGGCCTGCACCACCTTTTATCTTACAAGAGATTAAAGGAAAGGGAAGGAAGCAGAGAGTTGGGGACCTCACACCACCAAGAAAGCAGTGCTGGGAGCAGAGTGCGTCCTTCAAACCTGAGTTTCCTGCACAGAGAAGCTCCTAGTCTGGGGGAAGGTTGATGACGACGAGGACCTTCCTCCAGAGCCGACAGAGAAAGAAAGCCTTCTTCTGAAGCTGATGCCCTAAATTTGGACTTCTAGCCTACTAAACTCTGAGAAAATAAATTTTGCTTTGTTAAAGTCATCCACTTGTGGTATTTCTGTTACAGCGGTACTAGATAACCAAGACACCATCAAAGAATGTTTTCTTCTGTGTTTAAACCATTTCTTGAGTTCTTATAATGGTCTCATACAATATTTGTTGCTTTGCGACTGACTAATTCCACTCATCATTGGCTGATTTTTGGAAGCAGATGCCAAGCCTTTCTTCCTAGTCCATCTTACTCTGGAAGCTGCACTGAAACCTGTTCAGTATCATAGCAACACGCCAGCATCCACTGACAGATGGGTGGTGGCTGCACATGAGGTACATTGGCCAGGAATCAAAACCAGGTCTCCCAGACGGAAGGAGCGAATTCTGCCACTGAACCGCCACTGCCCCTACTGTGTGATCTTGCCCCAGCCTAATTCCAGACCATCTCTCCTGTAAACTGCCACTGGAGCAGCAATGAAATATTTCAATTCCCTGAACTCATCTTACTCTTTCTCCTCTTGAGCCTTGAAAAGTTTGGTTCCCTCCGCCTGGAATATCTTTTTGCACCAGGTCTACGTGGAAAACTCCTACTGTTTTTCAGCTAAATATCAGCTCCTCCGCGACCCTTCCCTGACACCCCCCACTACCAGCCCGTTGGGGTAGGGGCACCTCCTGTGTTGCTACTGCCCCGGGGATTCGGCATTACATTGTGTAATAAATATCTGCCACGACTTTCTGTTCCAGCGCATGTCACAGGGCACACAAGTGCAAAGAGTTCATTAAATGTTTGCAGAATAAACACAGAAGACAGTAGCACGGGCTTCAGGCTCTGTCATTTACTTGTGTGACCAGAGGCAAATTAATTATCTAGCTCATGGGCTTGTTGTGAGGAGTAAATGAATTGATGCATACAAAGTGCTTAGAACAATGCCTGGAACACTGTAAGCACTCAGCAAACTTCGACATATCTTCGTCATCATTTTCACAGCGGCCAACGCTCGTCATTGCCCTTTTAAGAGATCCGCCCACTTTGGTATCTAAGCGGAAGTACCCTCTCAGGGCTCCGGAAGTGATCTCACAGCCCCTCACAAAGATGGCCACCGAGGATTCTTCCGGAAGCAGTCACAGGAATCTCCGTGACGCAGAACGAGTTAGAGCGTCCCGTGAGGTTTCCATGGTGCCGTACGCAGCCCCCCGTACCTCCGCTTCCTCTCCCGCCTGACCACCTGAACGGGAAGGCAGGCGACAGGTCCCGCCAGCGACCAGACACCGCTTAGGGGAGGGGTTGGGAAAGGTGACGCTCTGGGCATGCTCGTTTGCGTCTCTATGGTGCCGAGCCATCCAGAGCGCCAGTCGCGCTCCTCGAGGCCGACTTTGCCCCTTTAATCGACGCGGGGCGGTGACGATAAGGTCCCGCGAGAGTTGCGGTGGGCGGGGGGCGGTGCCGAGGCTGGGGGCCGTCGAGGATGGAGCCCGAGATGGAGCCGGAGACTCTGGAGGCGCGAATTAGTGAGTGTCCGGGAGGGGCGCGGGCCGGACCGGAACCGGAACCGGGGGCACGAGGCGGGCCCCTTCCCGGCGGGGGCGGGTACGGGGCGCCCCCTCCTCACGCCCCGCCCCCGGCCCGGGAGGGGCAGTGCCCCAAACCTACTCGTTGGACTCTGGGGAGAAGGAAGACCACCCCGCCGGCCGTGCGGACCCGGAGTGGGAGCGGGCGCCGTCCACCCCCATCTGATCCCTGGGCCACGACCCCCGGGAAGGCAGTTAGCTGCGGGCGCCGTGATCTGCGCCCGGAACCTCCGGAACGGAGGGAGCACCGTCCAGTCCTCTCAAGCTCAGATCTCTCCGCTCAGGAGCTCCCCCAAGTCTTTCCTTTAGGGTGGGGGAGAGAGCAAGTGAGCGGCCCCCAGACTCCCGAGGGAGGGACGCCACTCTCCTCAGGCCCGTAATTCTCCACTTCCCGGCCCTGCGTAGTGTGTCTTCTCTTATCTGTGCTTCACGTCTGCAACTACTCTCTGATTTGCTTATTTCCCGGCCCAGGACCGAAGGACTCACTGACCCATCTGACCCTCCAAGCTCAGACTACAAGAGTAATTCCAGGGTCCCTGTCCCTACTCAGGCAAGCCCCTCAAGCTCTGCATCTCACAGATACTCCTTTCCCAGTTCTTGCTGAGCTTCCTCCAAACGCCCTGCACCCTTTTCCTTGTTTCTCTTCAGACAGCTTAATAATACTTGGGTTCAGAGCCCCAAACCCTCCACTTAAGCTCCCGGTCCCCCAGTGCTGATAACCTTCACGTCCCTCAGCCCCTTTCCTGGACTCTACCCCTGAAAACTGCTGGCTGACTTCTCCCTGGTCTGGTGAATGTTCCCAAGTTTGTACCTCCCTTTGGGCCCATGTCTCGGGCCTTAGTGAAGCCCCTGGGTCTACCTTCAGCTCAGCCCCATGGATCCAGGCACACCAAGAAGCTGCACAGAGTGGTTTGGGACCGTGGCCAGCTCCCTTTAAGCCAGTCAGTCATGAGCAGAGGTGAACCCCGAGGTTGGCCCCAGAACCACACGCCTCCAGGGATCTTCCAGAGCCAGACTAGCCAGTGGAGTGGGGAGGGGGAAGAGGAAGACACTCAGCAGCCATTGAGAATGTTCAGGAGTGCCACAAGTGTCCAAGTCTCAGCAGCTTGGTGGGGGTGGGAGCGCTGGCCAGGTGATCCGACAGGCTACAGGACTTGAGCGCCGGGTGATACAAGACAGTTTCAGGTTTAACAACAAGGTGGGTTTTCTGAGAGCCCAGAGGGTCTGATCGGAGAAGGAGGCAGCAATCCGGGATACCTGGGTTTGGCCTGGGCTGGTCCCTGATAGATTGAGGCTGAGATTTTTTTCTCTTCTTCCCCTTTGTGTCCTAGCAGAATTGGAAACTCTCCCCTCATGATGGTTGGAGGTAAAGAGTGACTTCTGGTGGAGTAAATGATGACATTGTCACCACCATGGAGTGACAGTCATGGAGTCATGCCCTGTTGTGAAACTGGCTGGGCCCTCCTCCCTCCCAGGCTGCTCTCCCTGCTGCCTGCCAGGGAAGGTGCCCCCACCAGTAGAGGGAGGAGATCGGGGGCCAGGGAGGTGTCACATCTCCTCAGACCCAGAGGCCCTTGCTCTGTGTCCAATGCAGGGGAGGGAGCTGATGTCCATGATGCCAGTGCTCCCTCCTCACTGCCGTCTGACTCCGGAGCCCCCTCCGGAGCAGCTTCTCTGTCTTCATGTGGACTCGTGTCTTTGACACTTGAAGGGACTTCCTCTTTTATGGTTCCCCAGCCAGATGTCAAGTGGTCAAGATCAGCTCCATTTTCTTCCTTCTACCTCCAGACTGGTGGCCCCACTCCCCACCTCTGACCGTGTTGGGAGGCTGATCAGAGGGTCATCCTTACCCAGGGTGGGCTTATTCCTGGTATCCCCTAGGCAGTCAGCAGGGGCTTCATTTCTCTGAGGGACTGGAGAGTTCTGCAGGGCTCCTGAACAGAGATTTGTACGCGGAGTGAAATGCTTCCCTCGGATCTCTGCTCAGCAGACCTCTGAGGGCCGTCACAGAGAGCATCCCCCTCCACACTTTGTATGTCTCCTCTCTGCTCTGTTTTCCTGTGTAGCCCTTTGCAGTAGTGTACAGTATTCTGTGTTTGTTTGTTAATCTGAGTAGTCAGTGTTTTTCTTGCCAGGCTGTGAGTTCCAGGAGGGCAGGGGTTTTGTCTTGGTCACTGCTGCATTCCTGGCACCAAGAAATATTACTGAATAAATAAACATGAATTCAGTGAATGGCTACCTGGCACCGGGATCGCGGGCTCCAGCCCCCTGCCGAAGCTTAGGCCCCCTGAATGGGGAGGCTCCACCTGGTGGGTCCCCAGCGTTCTCCTGTCCATTCACCCTGCTCTGTCCCACCTCCTGGGCTGTGCTCCCTCCACACTCGCTGGCTTGATGTTCGGGAGTGAGCAGAACTGCCCGGGAGAGGGTGACACTGTGGAGAGGTGGTGAAGCCCCAACCCTGGCTGCTGCTGTGGCTTTACCAGGTGGAAAGAATCTGGTCATGCAGACTCCATATTGCACTTCACCATATAATGAGGGAAACAGAGGCTCAGGGAGGATGGTTGTTGTTTAGCCAGTGGTAGGGGCTGTGGGGTGATTATCTGGTCTTGTTTACCTTCCCTTTCCTGGAGGCCTGTCTGCCCGTTCCTGGCCACTTTCCATTCCTGGATTCAGACCACCTAGAGCCTCTCCCCTGCCTGCCAGCCCTTATCCATTTGTGCGCTTTCCTGGGGAGACAGGATGCAGTGTGATGGGGGGGCCCACAGGGAAGGTCAGGTCTAGGGGAACAGAAGAGAGAGGTGACCCAGCAGTGCCACCCAGGCTGGAGCAGGGATTAGGGAAGGCCACCTGGAGGAGGCGATACCTGAGCCTCTTCTGCGGGGAGAGGGGCTTTCTGATCACTGGCATGAGGATAAAATCCACACTGCTTGCCAAGGCCCTTGGTGCTCTGCCCCGGGCTCACTTATCCCCGTGTCTGCTCACACAGCTCCTAAGCTGTTAAGACACGCCGTCCGCAACCTGGCTAACTTCCAGCCCCTGCTCAAGTGTTGCCTCTTCCAGCAGCCCCTCAGGCCCCTAGGCTGAGCTGTCCCCTCTTTGGGTCCTGCAGCTCCTTTGTGTCTCCTGCTGTCACTGTATTGAGATCCTGACTTTCCTTGGCCCACTTCCAGGCCTTTCTGCTCCTGGAGGGCAGGACCATGGCTGCTTGTTTCTCCCCTCTGGCTCTCTTCTGAGCATAAATTCATGAGAACTGGGGCAATTTCCAGCAGTGGAATCAGAGGGGTAGGGCATGATGGGTGGGTATAGCTGCCGGGGGGGAGGGGGGGGGCGGTGCTGTGGAGTAGAGGAAGGATCCCTAGACACAGTCTCTGAAAGGGGGGCCTTTGATGATAAGCCTCAAGGGGAAGCCAGTGAGAATGAGCTTATCCATCCAGCCCTCAGTGAAGCATTAGCATTCAGGTCTCAGGCTTTCAGAGCAGGAAGTCAGGGGAGGCCTTTCACGTGCTCAGCCACGCCCCCTGCTGGCCAAACCCTCTGCAGTGACCACGGTGGGCCCCTGCTCTGTTGGGTAGGGAGTGGGGAAGGCAGGGATCCCTTTGCCGCCACACTGACCCTCTCCCTCCTACAGACAGAGCCACGAACCCGCTGAACAAGGAGTTGAACTGGGCCAGCATCAACGGCTTCTGCGAGCAGCTCAATGAGGACTTCGAGGGGTAGGCAGCCTCCTTCATTTTTGCTCTCATATTCAGCAGAAATTACCATGCCCATGCCAGCCCCAGCGTCGGGCACAGGGACACGGGTGGATGGAGACACAGTTTCTGTTCTTAATGTGCTCACTATTTAATAATCGTAGTGGGCATTGTCCTGAGCACCACCTGTGTGCCACTCTCTGAGGTGGCCCTTGCTGGACCCATTTACAGACGAAGAAGCTGAGGCTCAGTGGCTCAGCAGTCTGCCCCAAGATCCCACAGAGAGGAAGTGTCCTTCCTGAGCTTGATCCAACCTAGGCCTGCCAGACCCCCAGCTAGTGCTTGGTTGGCGAAAGCTCCCAGCTGGGAGGAGCCAGCAGGCCTTTTGCTAAGGAAGAAACCAAACTGAGTTAGAGTCACAAGCTTGTCAAAGTCCACCTGTTTGGGCTTTGCCCAGACTTGGACCAACAGCTCCAGAGAGGGAGCTGGGGAGCCCACATTCCTAGCAGGCTCCACAGTCATGCTGAAGCTCAGGAAAACAGCTCTGCGTGCTTCCCCATACTCTTTCCTCTGCCAGAAATGCCTCCATTCCAACCCTGACAGTCCAGGTGCTCCATGTGGGGAGGCTGTATAGCGTAGTGTCTGTGCTCTGGAGGCAGACTGCTTGGGTTGGAATTCCAGTCCTCTATTAGCTGACTCTAAGAGCACCAGTGGCGCAGTGGTTAAGTGCTTGACTGCTCACCGAAAGGTCGGAGATTGGAACCCACCAGCCGCTCCATGGAGGAAAGATGTGGCAGTCTGCTCCTGTAAAGACTGCAGCCTTGGAAACCTGGGGCAGTTCTCCTCTGTCCTACAGGGTCACTATGAGTCGGAATCAACTCGATGGCAGTGGGTTTGGTTTTGATTTTTTTTCTTAGCTGAGTGGGCACCTGGGTGGCACAGACGGTTTAAGCACTTGACTACTAGCCAAAAGGTTGGTGGTTCGAACCCACCCAGAGGTGCCTTGGAAGACAGGCCTGGTGTTCTGCTTCTGAAAGGTTACTGCCTTGAAAACCCTATGGAACGCAGTTCTGCTCTGCACACATGGGGTTGCTATGAGTTGGAATCGCCTGGATAGCAGCTAACAACATTAGCTGAGTGTACCTGGGCAAGTCAGTGAAGCCTCTGAGCCTCCGTTTCTTCAGTGTAAAGTGGGGGCAACAGTGCTGCCTGCCTTGGAGGGCTCTTACAGGAAAGTTAAGCAGGAAAATACCTGTGAGGCACCTGGCACGGCGTAAGTGCTCAATATGTGTCAGCTGTTAATATCGTCAGCAGCAGGCCTTTCTTTCATGATCTGGTAGATAATGTCACTACGTCTGTTTGTTGTCACCTTGCGTTCCCAGGGAGCTCTAGCTGACCATCTCTTGTGGTGCATTGTCACGTTCTGCTCCCAGACTGGCTCTTTGAAGGCTGTCGTCGTCTCTATACTTGTCTCTCCCGTGAACCAAGGTCGCAGCACTTCATGTTGTTGTTAGGTGCTGTCAAGTGGGTTCCGACTCATAGCAACCCTGTGTACAACAGAATAAACACTGCCCGGTCCTTCGCCAGCCTCACAATCATTGCTGTGCTTGAGCCCATTGTAGCTACTGTGTCAATCCATCTCGTCAAGGGTCTTCCTTTTTTTCGCTGACCGTCTACTAAGCATAATACCCTTCTCCAGGGACTGGTCCCTCCTGGTAACATCTCCATAGTACGTGAGACAAAGTCTCACCATCTTCGTGTCTGAGGAGCAATCTGGCTGTACGTCTTCCAAGACAGATTTGTTCATTTCTCTGGCATTCCATGGTATATTTATATTTTTCGCCAAAACTATAATTCAAAGGCATCAATTCTTCTTCAGTCTTTCTTATTCGTTGTCTAGCTTTTGCATGCATATAAGGTGATTGAAAATACCATGGCTTGGGTCAGGCACACCTTGAGTCTTCAAGGTGACATTTTTGCTTTTTAACACTTTAAAGAAGTCTTTTGCAGCATATCTGCCTAATGCAGTACGTCGTTTGATTTCCTGACTGCTGCTTCTGTGGGCATTGATTGTGGACCCAAGTAAAAGGAAATCCTTGACAACTTCAATATTTTCTCCATTTATCATGATGTTGCTTATTGGTCCAGTTGTGAGGATTTTTGTTTTCTTTCTGTTGAGGTGTAATCCATACTGAAGGCTGTGGTCTTTGATCTTCATCAGTAAGAGTGTCAAGTCCTCTTCACTTTCAGCAAGCAAGGTTGTGTCATCTGCATATCGCAGGTTGTTAGAATCTTCCTCCAATCATGATGCCACGTTCTTCTTCATGAAGCCCAGCTTCTCGGGTTACTTGCTCAGTGTGGCATGTCATAGTTCTTGGTAAAGTCGACTGAAGTGCTGAGCTCACAGCTTCTGAAGGCACTTCCCAGCCCCCATCCGATCTGTCGTGGGAGCTGGGCTACATCTTCCCCGAAACGCCTGGAGGGCTAAAGTTCAGGGGTAGCGCCCCTCCCCTGGGTGGCTGGGCGCTGCTGGGGTGGTGCAGCCCTTGGCTCCGTGGCCATCCTGGCTCTGTCGTTCCTCCCACCCAGGCCTCCGCTTGCCACCCGGCTGCTGGCGCACAAGATCCAGTCCCCGCAGGAGTGGGAGGCCGTCCAGGCCCTGACGGTGAGAAGAGAGAGGGGCTGTTGGGGCCCTGGACCATGTGGCTGGCACCAGGGGAAGGCCAAGACCGTAGTTGTTGGAGTCCCATCCCGCTCTTCTTTAGAACCCAAGGGAGTTGTGTCCAGGTGGGGTTCTCAGCTAGCCCTGGAGGCCCATGGCAAGAAGCAGGCTGCCCCAGGCCCCAGACCCTGTGCGTTTGGGCCTCTCGTGGTCTCGTGGGGAGAATCCCCCTAGGGTCATCTGGTCTGGGGGTCCCCATCTGATCTCCAAGAAGCTTGTTATACCTACTGGGCCTGACCCAACACTTCCTGAATCACAATTTCCTGTGTGGCCCAGGAATCTTTATATTTACCAACCCAGGTGCCTTGTAGGAGCCCGCCCAGCCCATCAGTGTCCTCCAGACACAGGATAGCACTGTCCTTCCCACAGGGGTGGGGCGGGTGCCTGGCTCAGGCCCAAGCCTTTGGAGCTGTGCCAATAGCAGAAGAATAGAGGCAGGCAGCGCCTGTGGGCCCCACAAGCTGATTTTAGGTGGTGGTGGATCCACAGGTCTTCCATTAATAACTACGTCTTCATTTGAACATCTTAGTTTTTTTCCCCTCAAATGCACATCAGTCCTATGATTTCACAGATACGCCTTAGGATAAAGTCAAGGTGGATGTTGCCTGTTTAAGTTTTCTTTAAAAATCAAAGAAGTAGTAAGAACATAGCATATAAGTGGAATTCAAATGTGGTCCAAGCTGTAGAGAGGCCACAGCAGTGCTGCAGGCTGGGCATTGCTGGGCACCACAGATCACCATGACCGTGTTCCCGCAGGGGAGGTGACGAGTCTCAGGGTCCTCTGTGGACCTCAGAATCCCCTCGTCCTCATGGGTCATTCCATCCCTGGGCTCTGGGCCCTGGCAGGTGTGGGAGGGAGGCCACCTCCTCTGCTCCCCCAGGGCCCCCTGACCCCTCCCCCTGCCCCAGGTGCTGGAAACATGCATGAAGAGCTGCGGCAAGAGGTTTCACGACGAGGTGGGCAAGTTCCGCTTTCTCAACGAGCTCATCAAGGTCGTGTCTCCCAAGGTGGGTGCACCCAGCCCGAGCCTCTACCACCTCAGCCCCCTCAGAGTCTGACCCAGCCAAACACGAATCCCTCCTCATGGTCCCCTTCACACAACTGAATTGGGGACAGGCCGGGGTCTTTTGAAGAAGCGCTTGCAGGCTGGCCAGTGGGGGGCGGCTGCAGAGCCACTCAGGGAGATGGCTACACGAATGCAGAAAGCTGTCCACCGGCTCCCAGCCTGGGCTGGTCTGCTAGTGAGAGCACACCTCAGGCTGGTCCACCATGCCCACTTGGGTCTCTGGAGAGGGTCCCCCTGCTCCCCCCGACAGGAGAGGCCTCCTTGTGTCCTTGGCTGCTGAGGCCTCAAACCTGAATGATAGAGCAGATCAACCACACCCCTGGCTCTGGCCTTTGGGCTGAGGAGACCTCCCGTAAAGCACAACCCCTTCTTCCTCCCTCCTGCCCTTAACCAGGGCAGCTGTGTGACCGTTGGGCCCCCATTCTCTCAGGAGGGAAGTCTGGTGATAGCTGGTTCCGCCAGCCCAGTTTGTTGCCGTGTAAGTGGGGCCCAGGGCTGAGTAGTTACACACTTGCCCCTTCCCTGGTCAGCCTTGAAGCCTCGGACTCCTTCTTCCAGGGTCATAGTTACTCCTTACATAAGCTCCTTGTCAGCGCCCTGCACTCCATGCCTTCCGTGTGTCAGCTCACTGCATCCTCACCATGCTGCTGCTGGTATCCTTCCCATTTAACAAATGGGGAAGTGAGACACAGAGGGCTGACACAGCTAGTGAGTACAGAGCTAGGAAGCCAATGAACCCGGTCTGCGCCAGGCTGCTTGGGTAGGGACATGAGGAGTTGTAGGCCAGAGGGCTTCCAAGGGAGCCTGAGAGGCAGCCAGCCTTGGCTGGGGTTGGGCTGAAGTGAGTAGGGGTGGGGCATGTCACAGGCCTCCCCTCCCCTTCCACCCTGAAGTACCTGGGCTCTCGGACATCAGAGAAAGTGAAGAGCAAGGTCTTGGAGCTCCTCTACAGCTGGACAGTTGGCCTGCCTGAGGAGGTGAAGATTGCAGAGGCCTATCAGATGCTAAAGAAGCAAGGTGAGGCACCCACGAGGTGGGGCGGCAACCAGTGTCTTCCTCACCTCCTCCCTGAACTGTGTGTCTCCAGAGCTCCAGGGGCTCCTGGGCCAGCAAGGTCATGGGTCTGCCCTTCTCCTACAGGAGACCATACGCCAGTGGGGCCTTCATGTGGTTCTGCCTGAGACTAGCTTAAGTGGAGGGAAGGTGGATTTGGGTCACACTTCTCCTCAGAGTGGCGGCACCTAAACCCTCTCCCACACAGCAGTTTGACCTGGTAGGGTGGTATCAGGCCCTGGCCCACCGATGTCGAAAGCCAGCGTGCTGCAGAAAGTCTGACCTCACATTCCTCCTTCCATCTTATTCCTGCCTGCCCCCATCCCCATCCCACCCCCACTCTGGGCCTGAGCCCTCTCGACAGCCTTCCCACTACCTGTTTACTCCAGGGATTGTGAAGTCCGACCCCAAGCTTCCAGATGACGCCACCTTCCCCCTTCCTCCTCCACGGCCCAAGAATGTGATCTTTGAAGATGAGGAGAAATCCAAGGTGAGACTCTGAAGAGGAGATAGAGATGCCAGGGCCCGCTTTGGGGTTGTGATCCGGCCCCTGGCTGCCCTGGCCTCAGCCCTCCGAACAGAGGCTTGCACTTAGCACAGCCACAGTGGTGGGACATGCTGTTTATTGAGCACTTGTCATGTGCCCGGCCCCATGCTGAGTACTTCCATACTGTGTCCCTCAGATGTGCAGAAGGGTGTGCGTGGGGTTGGCTTAAGGGCTTTTTATAGGTTGAGCAGGAGTTTACGTGTCTTGTCTCTGTCTAACCCTTTCAACAATAATTTTATTAGTTTTTTGTTAAGGAAGCACGTGCTCACGGGTAAGTCGTTAAACAGCGCAAAAGGAAACAAGATAGAAAGTAAAAGCTGCTCTCTCCCAGTCCTGGCCCAGAGGGTAACTACTGTTAAGTTCCTTGTACATCCTTCCAGAAAGCCGTCTAGTGACAGTAATGTTATCAGCCAGCGTGTTGAGGGCTCCATGGGGAGCACTTGATGTACAGTGTCCAGTTGTCCTTATAGTCGTCACCTGTCAGGTGTCAGAAAATTCACACCATTGCAGAGAACTTAAGTAACTGACTCTGGTCCCTCAGCTAGGAAATAGGGAGCCAGATGTGGCCCCCGTCTCCTGATCCCAGGCCACCCCTTGCCCTGACGCTGCCCTCACAGTTCCACCCGCTGTCTCCGCAGATGCTGGCCCGCCTGCTGAAGAGCTCACACCCTGAGGACCTCCGAGCGGCCAACAAGCTAATCAAGGAGATGGTGCAGGAGGTGATGGCTGAGCCCAGAGCACAGGGAGGCAGTGGGATGGGGACACTGAGCTGGGCCACCAAAGTGGGGGTGTGTGTGCAAGGAGCCCTGCAGTGACCCAGCTAAAGGCTGTCACAGGGAAGAGGAGCTGACTGACTCCGAGGGACCCCAGCGGGCAGGGGCCACTGTGCAGAGGGGAAAATTTCTCAGCAGACCCAGCTCCTGCCCTGATGGCTTCTGGGAGGCTAACCGCCTCTTCTGTAAAAATGGCCCCAGCATCCTGCCCAGAAGCCCTGGAGGGAGCCTCCTGTTGGGGAGGGCTGCTGGGTTGGGGAGCCCCCACCTCTCCATAGCATAGCTTCCTCTCGCCCACTTTCCCCATGGCCTCAGAGCCACCACACCCCCAGGGGCGCTATGCCCCATCCCGACACCAGCCGGCCTTTATGGGCTTGGTCTCCAGAGTACAATCAATGACATGCTTGGCAAAATTACCATGAGCTCTATCTTGTGTCTAAAACAGCTAGAAGTAAATTAGGACTTAACTGTATTTAATATGGAGCCCTGGTGGTGCAGTAATTAAGAGTTTAGCTGCTATCCAAATGGCCAGCTGTTCGAATCCACCAACTGCTCCTTGGAACCCTATGGGACAGTTCTCTTCTGTCCTATAGGGTCACTGCGAGTTGGAATTGACTCAGTGGCAACAGCTTCGATTTCGGTTTTTAGTATATATAACATGGAGTCCCTGGGTGGTGCAAACGGTTAACACACTCAGCTGCTAACCAAAAGGTGGAGGATCAAATCTACCCAGAGGTGCCTCAAAAGAAAGGCCTGGTAGTCTGCTTCAGAAAGATCACAGCCATTGAAAACCCTATGGAGCGTAGTTCTACTCTGACACACATGGGGTCGTCATGAGTCAGAATTGACTCGAGGATAACCTTTTTTTTAGGGTGGGGGTGTGTGTGTATGTGTGAGTGTGTGTGTGTGTGTGTGTGTGTGTAGACCTCGTGGCACAGTGGTTAAAGCGGTTAGTTGCTAACCAAGAGGTCAGCAGTTCAAACCCACCAGCTGCTCTGCAGAAGAAAGATGTGGCAGTCTGCTTCCGTGAAGATTTACAACCTTGGAAACCCTATGGGGCATTTCTGCTCGGTCCTGTAGGGTCTCTATGATTTGGAATTGACTCGATGGCAGTGGGTTTTGGATTTTGTGTGTGTATTCCAAAACATACACTGTATGTAAACATAGGTACTGTCAAGTCAGTTCCGACTCATAGCAATCCTGTGTACAACAGAACGAAATACTGCCCGGTCTTGTGCCAGCCTCACAATAGTTGTTATGCTCAGCCCATTGTTGGAGCCACTTTGTCAGTCCATCTCGTTGAGGGTCTTCCTCTTTTTTGCTGACCCTCTACTTTACCAAGCATGATGTCCTTCTCCACGGACTGATCCCTCCTGATAACATGTCCAAAGTACAAGAGATGAAGTGTCACCATCCTCACTTCTAAGGAGCATTCTGGCTGTACTTCTTCCAAGACAGATTTGTTTGTTCTTCCGGCAGTCCATGGTATATTCAGTACTCTTCGACAACGCCATAATTCAAAGTCATCAATTCTTCTTCGGTCTTCCTTATTCATTGTCCAGCTTTCGCATGCACATGAGGTAACTGAAAATACCATGGCTTGGGTCAGGCGCACCTTAGTCTTCAAGGTGACATCTTTGCTTTTTAATGCTTGAAGTCTTTTGCAGCAGATTTGCCCAGTGTAGTACATCATTTGATTTCTTAACTGCTGCTTCCATGGACATTGTTTGTGGATCCAAGTAAAATGAAATCCTTGACAACTTTCATTTTTCTCCATTTATCATGATGTTGCTTATTGGTCCAGTTGTGAGGATTTTTGTTTTCTTTATGTTGAGGTGCAATCTATACTGAAAGCTGTAGTCTTTGATCTTCATCAGTAAGTGCTCCAAGCCCTCTTCACCTTCAGCAAGCAAGGTTGTGTCATCTGCGTAACACAGGTTGTTACTAAGTCTTCCTCCAGTCGTGATGCCACATTCTTCATATAGCCCAGCTTCTCGGATTATTTGCTCAGCATACAGATTGAATAAGTATGGTGAAAGGATATAACCCTGACTCACACCTTTTCTTAGTTTAAACCACAAAGTATCTCCTTGCTCTGTTCGAATGACTGCCCCTTGGTCTATGTACACGTTCCTCATGAGCATAATTAAGTGTTCTGAGATTCCCATTCTTTGCAACGTTATCCATAATTTGTTATGATCCATACAATTGAATGCCTTTGCACAGTGAGTAGAACACATGTAAACATCTTTCTGGTATTCTCTGCTTTCAGCCAGGATCCATCTGACATCAGCAATGATATCCCTGGTTCCACGTCCTCTTCTGAATCTTGCTTAAATTTCTAGCAGTTCCCTGTTGATGTACTGCTGCAATCGTTTTTGAATGCTCTTCAGCAAAATTTTACTTGCATGTGATATTAATGATACTGTTAAATGATTTCAACATTCTGTTAGATTACTTTTCTTTGGAATGGGCACAAACATGGAACTCTCTAGTCTGCTGGCCAGGTAGCTGTCTTCCATATTTCTTGGCATAGATGAGTGAGCACCTCCAGTGCTGCATCCATTTGTTGAAACATCTCAATTGGTATTCCATCAGTTCCTGGAGCCTTGTTTTTCACCCGTACTTTCAGTGCAGCTTGGATGTCTTCCTTCAATACTTGATCATATGTTACCTCCTAAAATGACTGAACATTGACCAGTTCTTTCTGGTACAGTGACTCTGTATTCCTTCCATCTTTTGATGCTTCCTGCGTCGTTCAGTATTTTCTCCACAGAATCCTTCACTATTGCAACTCGAGGCTTGAATTTTTTCTTCAGTTCTTTCAGCTTGAGGAATGCCGAGCATTTTCTTCCCTTTGGTTTTCTAACTCCAGGTCTTTGTACGTTTCATTATAATACTTTTGTCTTCTTGAGCTGCCCTTTGAAATCTTCTGTTCACTTCCTTTGCTTCATCATTTCTTCCTTTCGCTTTAGCTACTCAACATTCAAGAGCAAGTTTCAGGGTCTCTTCTGACATCCATTTATTTTTAATGACTCTTTGTTTTCTCCATGTACGATGTCCACGTCATTCCACAATTCGTCTGGTCTTCGGTCATTAGTGCTCAGTGCGTCAGATCTGTTCTTGAGATGGTGGGATATATGCAAGGTCTTATTTTGGCCCTCGTGGACTTAACTCTAATCCTCTTCAGCTTCAACTTGAACTTGCAGATGAGCAGTTGATGATCTGTTCCACAGTCAGCCCCTGGCCTTGTTCTGACTGATGATATTGAGCTTCTCCATTGTCTCTACAGATGTAGTCAGTCTGATTCTTGTGTATTCCATCTGGTGAGGTCCACGTGTATAGTCACCGTTTATGTTGTTGAAAAAACATACCTGTAATGAAGAAGTCGTTGGTCTTGCAAAATTCTATCATGTGACCTCTGACTTCATTTCTGTCACCGAGGCCATACTTTCCAGCTACAGATCCTTCTTGTTTCCAACTTTTGTATTCCAATCACCAGTAATTATCAGTGCATCCTGACTGCATGTTTGATCAATCTCCAACTACAGTAGCTGGTAAAAATCTTCAATTTCTTCATCTTTGGCCTTAGTGGTTGGTACATGAATTTGAATAATAGTCATATTAACTGATCTTCTTTGTAGGCGTATGGATGTCATGCTATCGCTGACAGCATTGTAGTTCAAGATAGATCTTGGAGTACATACACGCACATGTATATATACACATGTACACACAAAGTGAGACAGAGTAGTGTATGTTTAATTCATAAGTATATAAGTAAAGTAAATATACAAATGTTGTAGGAACATGCTGAAACCTTTTTTAATTGATAAGAGTCATCAAAAAACATTTGCAGGTCAGAAATAATAGCACAGAGGAGAAAAAACAAAACATTGAAACTTGAAGTTCCAAGGCTTGAGATTAACAACAGGGAACTAAATGAGGCAAATGCAGCCCTGTAGCAAGGGCCACAAACCAGACACCCCAGGCCAGGGAGGACGGGTCTTGGGGCTTGCATGGGGCCCACCCAGCTGCAGCCCAGCCAGATCTTCCGGTGTTTTTTCTTCAAAGATGATCTGGAAATCTGGATTTTTACATGAACTCTCTCCACTTCAAATTTCTGGAACCACTGCTTGGGCCAAGCAGAACCTGCCTGCTTCTCTTTCTTGGAGGTGCATTCAGCCAATGGGCTGGTCGGAGGGATGAGATGGTCCCTGGACGACTGCACTGAGGCACTCCCCGGGGGGGGGTCCCCTCAGCAGACTGACTGGAGACAGGTTGGCAGCACAGATGTGCTGAGGATGTTTTCCACTCTTACCAGGAGGGCGGGAGTTCTGGGTTGTCTTCTGAGGACTGAAAGCTGCTCTGGAGAGCAAGTCGCAGGTGGCCCCTTTCCGGAAGGGTGCTTCTGTCAGATCAGCACGGCACAAAGCCCACCTTTTATTCACCAAGGGAGGAGTGAGCACAGTACATGGGTGGAAGAGAGCCAGTCGTGGCCTACAGCCTGCAGCGGACTTTCAAGGCCCTGAGCTTTCCCTCTTTCCCTGCACTGACAGACACTGGAAGGTTGTACCTGTGGATCACCTAGGTCCTTTTTCACTCTCAAGTATGGGAACCTTCTTTTCAAGCGACAGTCACCAGGAGAGCAGGAGTCATTTGTAACCACAGGTGTAGGCCCTAAACCTTCAGAACCACCTGGCCAGAGTGTTGGAGTGCAGAGGTCTGCTGGGTGCAAGGGGCGTTGGCTGGAGGAGAGGCCACAGCCACAGGGTTGGCAGAGGGGTTCTTGGGCCAGAGCGCCCTGTGCTGGGCGTGATGAGCCCTCCCCAAGTCTCACCTCACACCCAGCTAGCCCTCTGCCCGGACCCCAGCATACCTTCTCCAGAGCGGTGCGGGCCGCACCGGCTCAGGGCCTGTTTGCTGCCCTCTTGCAGGACCAGAAGCGGATGGAGAAGATCTCGAAGCGGGTGAATGCCATTGAGGAGGTGAACAACAACGTGAAGCTGCTGACAGAGATGGTGATGAGCCACAGCCAGGGCGGCTCAGCTTCGGGCAGCAGTGAGGACCTCATGAAGGTGCGCCTGCCTCCTCCCCGCTCCTGGCCCACTGCTCAGCCCCTGGCAGCCCTGACCTGCCCACCCTCCTGCCCCCAGGAACTATACCAGCGCTGTGAGCGGATGCGGCCCACACTCTTCCGGCTGGCCAGCGACACAGAGGACAATGACGAGGCCTTAGGTGAGCCCAGGGCAGGCACTGGGATCAGGTCCCCAGGCCGAGCGTCCACACCACACCTGACCCTCTCCCCCTCCTTAGAGCCCAGATATCTGCAGTTGGAAGGAGCCACCACCAGGGGGCCCCCTTCTCTAGTGGTCACCCTGTGTTTCCACAGAAAAGCAGAAAGCAAAGAGCTGGGGGCTGCCATGGTTGATGGGCTGCCATGCCCCTTCACAGGATCACCTTACTGCCCACACCACCCTGGATGGGGGGAGCTCTGTCCCCACTTAGAGCTGGGCTTAGGGAAGGAAGTGACCCAGATCACAGAGCAGCACAGGGGACAGGCACAGTGGACCAGGGCTGTCTGCCTCCAGACATAGCCTCTCTGGTAAGGAGGAGTTAGAAACCTGAGAGCGAATTCCACAGGCCCAGGCAGCTCCAGGGCTGAACCCCATGGTTCCCGCCAGGGCCATGTTCCAGGTTCTCTTTCTTCTCTGCCACTGTGTCAGCTAGGACTCTCTTGGGCAGCTGTCTGGGCACCATTCATCCCCTTGTCCAGCAGGAGCCACTCAGCAGCCCCCAGGTACCAGTACCTGGTCCCTACCCAAAAGGCTCCTGCCCTGAGCAGCCCCTCTGAGCCTTGGCAGCTGAGGAGGCTCATAGTGACGAGGGGCTGGTTTGTGACTGGTAGTGTTCTAGGTCTTGAGAATACGGCAGTAAGCAAAGTGGACAAAGCCCTGACCTCATGGAGCTTCTAGTCTAATGAGAGGAGACAGATAATAAACCAGATATGTTACCTTGGCTGGAGAAGGCGAGTGAAGAGAGGGTGGGAGGGTAGACAGGAGGTAGCAGGGGCCAGACCCTGGGGCCTGAGTGAGTGGATGAGATGGGAGGCTCCTCGCCCTCTCCTCATACACAGGCTGGCATAGGTGTGGGGTGCTTGACTCCCCCATCCTAGTGGCCCCACATCCCCTCAGCCTGGCTTCTCCTGCTTGTTCCAGCGGAGATCCTGCAGGCCAACGACAACCTCACCCAGGTAATCAACCTGTACAAGCAGCTGGTGCGGGGCGAGGAGGTCAACGGCGACGCCGCCGCCACCGGCTCGATCCCTGGTGAGGAAGGGACAGTAGAGCTGGGACGGGGCCACCAGTCCGGAGGGGCACCAAGAGTTCAGGGTGGTGGGTTGGGCCCAGAGCTGGTGGCCATGACTGCAAGGTGACTCTGGCCCCTTAAGATGGGGAAGGCCTGGAGAGGGAGCTGGGGGACGTCTGTGCCAAGCCTGCAGCTGTGAGGGGAGAAAGTCTGGGGGCAGGGAGGCGACGGTTTGGGAGGGCAGGCGAAGAAGGAAGGCCTTTCTTTCACTTGACAAGTCGGGCACCTCTTATGTGGGGTTGGTTTAATTATCAGAAGGAAGAAGGGGGTTGATGTCTAAACATCATAGGCTAGGCTCTCATCAGGCTGAACGAGAGCCCTGGGTACCCACAGAGGCGTCAGAATTGGCCCTGTTTGGGAGAAGGGGTGGGGGGCTACACAGAAGCAGCAAAGTGTGAGCAGGGCCTTGAAGGATGGGGAGCAATTTGCCAAGAAGAGAAGAGAGAAGGACATACATTCTAGACAGAAGGAACAACATATACTGAAGAAAGGGCCTGGTGAGCAGATTCTGGGGCAAGGCCAGGGCTCGGCTGGTGTGGCTGAGAACGGGAAGCAGGAGGCTGCCTGGAAGGCTGGGATATACTCAGGACTTGCTTGACTCTCCCCTCCCCGCCTAGGAAGCACCTCGGCCCTGTTGGACCTCTCAGGCCTGGATCTCCCTCCTGCTGGCACCACCTACCCAGCCACGCCCACCCGCCCTGGTAACCAGGCCAGCCCCGAGCAGCCCAGTGCCTCTGTTTCCCTGCTTGATGATGAGCTCATGTCTCTGGGTAAGGAGGGTGCAGGCCTGGGGCCGGGTGGGGCATGCTCCCTGCAGGACCTCTTGCAGCTTGTAGAGCCCTGCCACCAGCCTTATGTCCTCCTGCCAACACAGGCATGGGGAATTTAGCTGTGATAAAGCAGCCACACCCAGCTCTGGCAGCCTGAGGGAGAATGAAGGGATTTCCCTGCAGCAGGCTAGAGCCCAGAGTTGGGGCTGTTCAGGCAAAAGTTCAGCAGTTTCCCCACCCACCAAGAGAGAGAGCAAGAGGGCTCTGTGCCCAGAAGTACCCAGAGGTCCAGGGGAGTGCTTGTCCCCAGCTCCCTGGGGCCAGAGCCAAACCCCCAGGCCTACTGTGACTCCAGGGCAGGGCTTGGGGGCTCCAGAGTCCAGCAGGAGGCAAGACTCATCCTGGGGAAGAAGCAGAGGGTTCCTGGGTGGCTAGGCAGAGCTCAGACTTCACCTTTCTCGAGGGCAGAAGTACCCCCCCATCCTCCTCATAATAGCCACTGAAGTTATGAAAAAACAGAGATGTTAGGGCTGTCAGAGGGATATGTTGGAAACCTGTAACTTAGAAATCAAGAGTCAGGCTGCATTCCTCTGAACCACTCCTGAAGGAACAAACAAACCCGAAGAGCTGAAGAAGCCATGGGTACGCTGGGTCCTGGGCAGAGTCCACCCAGAACTGAAGGAGTGCTTTCTGGGCCTGGGAGTCCCTGGGTGGTGCATACAGGTTAAGTGCTCAGCTACTAACCAGATGGTTGGCAGTTCAGATCCACCCAGAGGTGCCTCAGAAGAAAGGCCTGGTGATCTGCTTCCGAAAGGTCACGCCTTGAAAATCTTACGGAGCAGTTCTACTCTGACACACACAGGGTTGTCATGAGGCGGAATTGACTCAATGGCAACTGGCTTGGTTTGGGGTTTTTCTCCCCTGGGCCTGAGCTGGACCAGTGCCAGTTACCGTGCTCTGTTGTGCGGTACGTATGTAATCCTCCCAGCCACTCAAGGTTGGCGCTGTTAATATCCCCCATTTACAGATAGATGGGGAAATCAAGGCTTAGAGAGGCTGAGGTGACTTGCCCAAAGTCACAGAGTTAGTTAAAGGGGAGAGGACACCAGGGTTCGAACTAGGCCCTCTGACTCCAAAGCCACACCCTGAGCCACTCTGCTGCTCTGACTCATTGCTTAGTTGTTTCTAAGCAAGAAAAGGATGAGGAGGGCTCAGTAGGGAGTGAGCGAGGGTAAAGCAGACAGAGGGTCTGACCACAGGGTGTCCAGGGCCCCACCCACGAGTCCTGCCGGCCTGCCCCCTCTTCATTCAGCACCAAAGGGTGACTCAGGGTGTGCACCCTTACCCTGGGTAAAGGATGGTCCAGTGGTGAGGACTCTAATCTGTCCTAGCAGAGCCAGGCCAGGGGCAGCCCCCTGACTGGGCAGCTGGTTGATAGGGAGGTAATGGCTGGGCTGACCCCAAGGGTGGCTGTGGTAGAGCCGCCTCCATATGAGAAGTGAGGTGTGCTTTGCACTTCCTGTCCTCAAGTTGCTTCTGCAGAGCCCTGAGCCTCCAGCTTCCTTCTTCTCAAAGGCAAAGAGAGTATGAGAACAGGAACCAAAAGTGCCAGGGTAGCAGCCAGCCCAGCTGTCGGGGTAGAGGAAGCCTTGGAACCACAAAGGGCTTGTCCTAAACCGTTCTCCATGGCAGGAAGGATGTGAGGAGACCAGACCTCATGGTCTTCACTGGCTGCACAGGATTGGTCGCTCTTTGCCAGCCATGGCCAAGGGGTTGCGCAGCCTCATGGAAAGTGTGGGAGCATCTGCACCAAGCTGGCCTGGGTTTGAATCCCAGCTCTGCCACTTCCCAGCTGTGTGAGCCAGGCACATTCTTCCCCTCTTGGCCTGTGTTTCCTGCCCATCAAAGAGTGTTGGAGGCATTTTATCAGATTTATTACTCGCAACAACCCTGCCATTGTCTCCATTTTACATATGAGGGGATGGAGGCACATGGAGGTTACATCACCAGCCCAGGGTCATACAGATAAGTGGCAGAGCTGTGTTCAAGCTCTAGCAATTTTGCCATGCTCTGTTCAAGTCCAGACTCTGCCACATTCCAGCTGTGTGACCTTGGGCAGGTGACTTAACCTCTCTGAGCATCCATTTCCTCGTCTCAAAAAGGGACATGCGAACCCTACACCTACTTTTTTTTTTTTTTTAATTCTGATGCTGTCTGTCTTTATTAGGTAAATTGACATTATTCATACTTTTTGTGACAACAGATTTATTTCATCTTATTTGACTTTTTTGTGGTAAACGTATATGTAACAAAACATTTTCCATTTCAACAGTCGTCACATTTATTACATTTGTCACGTTGTTCAGCCATCACGATTATCTGTTCCCAGACATTCCCATCACTTAACAGAAGCTCAGTGTCCTCTAAGCCTCACATTTCTCCTCTTCCTCTTCCTCCCACCTGCCCCTGGGACCACTGACATTTGGTCTCTATACACTGGCTACTCTAGATACTCCCCACCCTACCTTTTCGGGTAGTTTGGGGGTTAAGTGAGACCCAAGTCTACAGACCCTGATGCAGCAGGAGGGTGGAATATGTGTCAGCAGTTACATCTTGTTATCCCTGGTCTTAGAGATGAGCCTAGAGGAGACACAGTAACAGCCACAGCTCCCTGGAGCCCTCGCCCCTGCTTGTCAGATCGCACTTTAGCTTGGCCTTAGCTTAACTCCTGGTTTGCCAGAAACTGGTCTTGCCTAGGTCAAATCTGGGATGAACTCGGCTGGAGGTGTTTCAGGGTGGATCAGGGCAGACCGGTCACATACTGCCTTCTAACAGTTAGCACGCTACTTAGCAAGCCTTTTATTTAGAGCTATGTGCAGAGAACTCTCTCATGCTCTCCTTGGCACCATTCACTCAGGTTGGCCATCTTTGCATGTATCAGGGCTGATGGCGCAGTCCAGCCCTGTCCTGGTACAGATGGCGCCACTGAGGCTCAGCCTGTGCACTGCTTTGCCCGTGTGGTCACTCAGACTCCAGGGCAAGCCTGGGCCCAGGGCCCTGTTCCCCACATCGCACTGTGCTTCTGACTCAGAGGGTGGGTGCAGAGTGCTGACCCCTGCCCTCCTGGATCCTTACCACCCCACACCAGCTCTCAGTTGCCAGCTTGTGAGCACAAGCAGGACAGAAGTCCCTACTTCTGTATTGACTTGCTGCTGAGTAACCTGTGAGAGGAGGAGAGGAAGCATGTGGGCCCGGGACTGGGCTGTCAGGGTCTTTAGTTTCTATTTCTGCTCTGCTGCTCTTCCCTCTGGAAGTGTGGGCTTTTCCCCTCTGAGCTCTTGGAAGGGGGGAGAGGATGAGAGCTGGGTGAAGCCCCAGCCAGCGCACACCACCCCCTAAGTGAGTCCAGCTTCCTCATCTCTGTCCTGCTTTCCTCCCAGGCCTAAGCGACCCCACACCCCCTTCAGGCCCAGGCTTAGAAGGTGCCAGATGGAACAGCTTCCAGGTAGGAGGGGGCCAGGAAGCAGCCTGACCTGTCCCTGTCCTGGGACAAGCAGCCTGAAGGGAACAATGATGGGCTCTGTGCAGGAGGGCCATGGGGCAGAGGGGGCCTGGGGGGCTGGTGGCACCCGAGGATAATGGAGGAAGGTAAGCTGTCCTTCCTTCACCTCCAGCTGCATCTCCCCAGCCCAGCCTTTCACTACTTCTGGGCCTGCACTGGAGCTGCAGCCCAGCCTGTGGGGCTGAGATGGGGGTTTCCTGTTCCTGTACCTTTGAGGGTGACTTTGAGGTCTCTGGAGTAGAGCCACAGACCAGGCTTAGCCCCCTGATGGCCCTGAAGAGAGAACGGTCCTGGACCCACAGGCATGTTGCCATCCCAGGCACCTGCCTCGTGGGCGGGAACAGTATGTTGTCTCTGTCCCTGCTGCTGCTTTGCCAGATGTCACCTGCACAAGGGAAGGGGTCTCCAAGCAGCGCCAGGTGACACACCTTTTTGGCACAGCCCCACCCACCTACATCCTTTGTATGCCCAACAGTCATCTGACGGTGCTGAGCCCCCGGCCCCAGCCCCCAGCACGGACAGCCGGCCCCCAACGCAGACTCCCCAGCCGGCCAGCAGTGGTCTGGATGACCTGGACCTCCTGGGGAAGATCCTCCTGCAGCAGTCGCTGCCCCCGGAGTCCCAGCAAGTGCGATGGTGAGGACATGGCCAGCCTGCCACCACAGCCTCCCTGCTCCCTCCTGAGCTCTCCCTCACCCAGACCCTGCCCAGGCCCTGCAGGGAGAGCCTGCTGCTGGCTTGTGTACATGGGGAGCCTGTGCTGGTGCACCCACTGTGTGCCCAGCACCGCTCTTGGCTTTAGGGACATGGCAGTGACAGGGAAGCACAGTGCCCACCCCACAGAGGATGGAGTTTATGAGAGGGGGCCTGCACCCTGCTCACAAAGCCTACCCCAGGTGTCCCCAGCCCCCCAGAGAGAGACTGAAGGCCCCAAGGGCTAGCAACAATGAGGACACAGGGTCTGAGCAGCCAGAGTAAAGGTCAGCTTTGAGGGAGGGAGGAGAAGGGCTGTCCCCACCAAACAAGAGGAGCCCCAAGGCCAGCAAGTTTGGCAGTCTGAGCCAGCAGTCAGGGACCAACCCGGAAGCCCAGTCTTTCCTGTGCTTCTGACCTCGGGCACACTGAAGAATCTCTTCCTAATGCACCATCCCCCAATAAGGGAGAAGCAGCAGCCAGCCCCCCGGCTCACGCTCCGCGACCTGCAGAACCAGAGCAGCTGCAGCTCGCCCAGCTCCGGTGCCACCAGCCTCCTCCACACTGTGTCCCCAGAGCCCCCTGCACCTCCGCAGCAGCCCACACCAACGGAGCTCTCGCTGGCCAACATCACTGTGCCCCTGGAGTCCATCAAACCCAGTGAGTACCCTCAGGGCGGGTACCGCCCACCTCGTCTCTGTCAGAAGCTCTGCCTGGGGAAGGAGGTGGGGAGCAGAACCCTCCTCCCAGCCCCGCCGCTGGCTGACTTACTCAGCAGGGAGCTCTGGGGAAGGTCCTTCCCCTTGCCAGGACTCAGTTTCCCCATCTGCCCCAGAATGCTGGCAGAACTGCTCTGTGAAGTCCCGGGGTTACATAAGCAAAGGACTACTTGTGGGATGGCCCCTGGGACCCCTCCCTCCCTGGGAAGGCAGGAACTAGGACAGGGCGAGATTTAGAGTCCCCTCAAGATCAAGAAACCGAACCAGAATAAAGGTCCAAAACCACGCCTGGAGCTCTTCCCACCCAGGAGCAAGAGTGGGCCATGGGCCTCCCTAGCACCAGGCCCCAGCATCGTCAGCCCGCGTGGGCTCACTGGGCACTGAGAGTGTCATATCCTCAATATCCGCAGGAGGTAGGGAGCGGTCTCCCCATTTTACTAGTAAGGTAAGCTAAGCTCAGGGAAGCCGAGTGACCATACCAAGGTCACCCAGTGAGCACATGACCCAAACCCTCACCCAGAATCTTGCTTCACTCCAGCATGCCAAGCAGCAGCCGCATGGCACTAAGGGAGCCCCGGGCTGTGACGGCACCCAGGGTCCTGTCTCCACCATCAGACTCTAGCAGTTCACCTGCCCTCCAGGCACCAATCTGCACCCTGACTACACTGCCCAGGGCCCAGACCAGGCCAGCCAGCACCCCAACTTCACTGCCCGGGCCCATACCAGACCAGCCTACACCCCGACTGCACTGCCCAGGGCCCAGGCCAGGCCAGCCTGCACCCCGACTGCACTGCCCAGACCAGACCAGGCCAGCCAGCACCCCGACTTCACTGCCTGGGCCCATACCAGACCAGCCTGCACCCCGACTGCACTGCCCAGGGCCCAGGCCAGGCCAGCCTGCACCCCAACTACACTACCCAGGGCCGAAGCAAGGACATGAGCTAGAGGGTTTGTTCTTTTGTCCCCATCAGAGCAGCACATGCCCCCTGTACGCCAGTGGGGAGAACTGAGCACGCCAGCTGCCTACCACCCCCATTTTCTCCCCTGCCAGGCAGCATCTTGCCTGTGACCGTGTATGACCAGCATGGCTTCCGCATCCTCTTCCATTTCGCCCGCGACCCGCTGCCAGGGCGCTCTGACGTGCTGGTGGTGGTGGTGTCCATGCTGAGCACCGCCCCCCAGCCCATCCGCAACATCGTTTTCCAGTCAGCTGTCCCCAAGGTGACACGGGCAGGGCGGGACGGCATGCCTCCCTCCTCTCAAGGCAGGGTGACTTGGGGCTTGGTAGGGTGCCAGCTGGCCTGGGGCAGGAACAGGGGCTGTAGCGGGTTGAGGGGAGCCCCAGACAGAGCCCCAGGCCCCCAGCCTGGCCCCTGTGGGTCTGAGGAGGGAAGCCAGGGCCAGCTGCCTATCCTGCCACCACTGCCCACAGGTCATGAAAGTCAAGCTGCAGCCACCCTCAGGCACAGAGCTGCCAGCGTTTAACCCCATCGTCCACCCCACAGCTATCACCCAGGTCCTGCTCCTCGCCAACCCCCAGAAGGTGAGGGGCCCAGCTGTGACAGTCAGGGCTCTGCGGGTGGGGTGGCCTCCTGGCCTGCTCTGACCCCTCTGCCTCCCCTCTCTGCCCCAGGAGAAGGTCCGCCTCCGCTACAAGCTCATCTTCACCATGGGCGAGCAGACCTACAATGAGATGGGGGACGTGGACCAGTTCCCACCACCTGAGTCCTGGGGGAGCCTCTAGGACAGAGGCTGGGGAGAGGAGGGGGCAGAGAGCCTGGCTGTCACAGCCTGGTGGAGGCTGTGGTGGCCTGGGACACCCTTTGTCCCCTGGCCATATACCCCAGGGCCTGGTGCTTCTCCCCTCACCCCAGTGGCCCTCAAGTGACTCTTCTCCCTCCCCCTGCCCCTTCCCTGCTGAGCCAAACCCAGCAGGAGGCTGGGCGTGGGTTTGTACCCCTGGGCCTCCACACAGTGGGAGCCTGAAGCAGGGAGGGGCTGCATGGCCCTGGAAGGACTTGGGGTCCTGGGAAAGCAAAGCTGTCGGGGAGGGCCAGGACCTCAGTCTGGGGTGGGGCCTTCCCCACCTGTCTCTGATGCCTTATGGGAAGGCCCAGCCATAGCTTGGGGGCCACGCTGGAGCCAGGGACCAGCTCAGGCCTCCTCTGTAGGAACCTGGTGAATGTGGGGTGGCACTTGTACCCCCAACTGTTTGCACTTCCCTGGTGTGTGGTTTGACGCTCTTTGCTTTTGTTTCTGAGTAGGCCCTGTGGTCACAGTCTCAGGGGTGGTGAGGTGTTCCCCACTCCTCCTGGGGGCCCCCTCTACCCACCCGGTCCCTGCTGTCAGCCTCCTCAGGGGCTGTGGGGCGTGTGACAGTGGGCCAGGGGCTGTGCACTGGAGTCCAGTGTCTCCTTCGTCCACTGGCCTCTGCTGGGGCCTCCTGTGGGCATCTCCCATCTGTCCATCTGTCCATGGTCAGAGTGGGGTCGTGTGTGCGTGAGAGCAGGAGTATTTATGGAAATAAAACGTCCTTTTTCCTGGATCAGTTGCTCTCGTGGCCCTTCCGAGACTGGAAGGCAGGAGGGGTCAGGGGCCCCCAGGCTGCCCCACAGACCTCCCAGCCTCCATCTTCAGGGATCAGGCCCTGGCCCCTCACCCCCACCCACCACCACCGGAAGAGGCCCTGCTGGGGGCCTGTGGCTGGTGCCGAGTCACCAGACGGCCGGGCTGTGGTGGGCCCCAACAGCCCCAGCTGGACACAGACGGCCTGCCAGGAGCCCCATCTGCTGCAGCTGCTGAGGGTGAGGCCTCTGCCGCTTGCAACTTCCTCCTGCTGAGCTCAGCCCTCAAAACACAACCGCGAAGCAGCACCCACCCCCGGGGGTCCACGCCTCAGTTTCTTCATTTCCCAGAGGCTGCTCCAGGAAGCAGGGAGCCAATCATAGCTGGTTTCAGGCGGGGCCAGGACCCTGAGCCAGGCCCCTTGTCATTGTCAGCCATAGCACCCCCAGCCCAGCCTATCAGTGTCTACCCTAATGGGGCAGCTGGGGTCCAGGCCCCCAAACAGCTGAGGGAGCCAACCAGTGGGGGGAACAAGCGGGGAGGTAGTGCAGAGGGCCTGGCCACGTTCTGTGGCCCACTGCTCTGCAGGGCAGGAGTCCCTGCTCAGAGGAGCTTGGGGAGGGCCGCCCATGGTTCCTCCTCCCTAGGAGATGAGCTCATTAAGGGCCCTGGCCAAGTTCTGCATTTAAGAAACCAATTTCACTTTGTCTCATCTGGTGTTTCCCAGTCTGAACTTGGCTCCTGAATCCCTCTCTGTACAAGTTCTTTGTAATAAAACCGTACTCCCTGTGACATCCATCTGGGGCCCAAGACACCTGGCCAGTCACAGAAGGGCTGCAGGGTAGTGGAGGCCCTGCGCAACGACAGCGTGGGAGCCTGGGGTCCAGTTCTGGCTTGGTCGCCGGCTTGCTGTGTGACTTTGAGCAAGGTGCTTCCCTCTCTGGCCTTTAGTTTCCATGTGTGGGAGGGGCCCAGTGATCTTTAAGGCCCCTCTGAGGCCTTCTGAGGAGTCTGTGAGCACAAGGGTCTCCCTAGGCTGTTGGCTTTGGGAGGATAGAGAATGTTACAGGGGCAGGAGGCTCCTTTAATCTTGCAGACCATCCACCTTCCCTGTTTCCTCATCCATGCGCCCAAATGTATGTCTGTCTTGCAAGTGCTTGACAGCCAGCCCATGTGCCAGGCACAGCCCTGTTCTAAGTTCACAGCCCACGGGAGATGTGAGCCAGGAGCTCAGCATGAGTCCTGAGCACCGGAAGGGAGTGGCCACCAGGTGCTACGGGAGCTCATCCCAGAGAAGGGGCCCTGGACCTCCACCACCTGGAGGAGCCAGTCTCCAAATGCTTTGTGTCCCTTCTGACAGGCATGGCGTGCAGCACGCGGGCCCGGGGCCTCTGGCATTCTCAGGCTGGGACAGGATGCCCAGGGGAAGGTGTTTGTCGTTTGAAGAGTGGCCCCCACCACTCCAAGAGCAGTGGGACTTCCCAGATCTGGAAGCCACACTTCCACTTCTAGTCAGACAGCCTGAGGCGGCAGTTAATTTTAGTTTTGGCAACCACAGCATGCTGGTCATCTGTTCAGAGCAGCCAAGAGATACAGAGAGGCCACTGCTTGCCTGGGGGGCCTGACCCTCCTGGTCTCCTGCTGACTCCGCCCCATCACTGCGGACCAGGCATGGCCAGGCAGATAACGAGGAGAGTCAGCCCAGCCTGGCGCACCTGCTTCATGCAGTCTCTCCCCTGATCCTTATAACCACCATGTGAAAATGGGAAACTGAGGCTCAAAGACTTAAAGTGCCTGAGGTCACGCATCAGGGGCTGAGTTGGGCTCAGAGCCAGGTTGCGCACCAGCAGCCCTTTGAGGCCCCTCCCTTCCCAGCCCTTCCTTTGGTTGGGCCACTGTCCTCTGGTGTTGGGAGCTAAGTGTAGATGCACCCCCAGGGCTGTCAAGACTGTGGTGGAGGCCTCATGCCTCAGCCCCACCCACGGTTTCTTGGGAGGGCCTTTGGGCTTGGGAAGGGGGCAGAGCCCCAGAAATCACACCACATGCCCAGCAGCTGAGAGGACGCCTCCACTTGGCAACGCTGACATGGCTATAAGCAGGCCATCTGTCAGTGTCACCAATGGGACGTTTTGCCCAGTCCTGAAGCCCCACATCTGACCTCTGAGAATAGCACCTCTGCCAGGTCCCCTGGGCTCCCTGCCCACATCCTATTCAAGCCTCTCCAGCATGCTACCAGACCGTCACAGGTCTGCACAGATAAATCTGTACCAAGGCTGCTGGCCCCTTGAGGGCTTGGGGCGGGGGGGTGGGCAGGGCAGAGGCCAGCATTTCTGGAGTTCCTGGGCAGTGTTATCGGCACAGCAGGTGAGCAAGAGTGGGCTCTGGAGCCTGTCAGATCCACTTTCTGACCACCTAACCTGCTACGGACCTTGGGTCCAGGAGCCTCAGTCTGCCCCCTGTAAAATGGAGATAATGGTACAGATTTCGCTTGAGGATTCTCTAAAGTATAATACAATGAGTCCCTTTGTCCCAAGACAGCTGGACACATTTAGGGGCAACTGAGGCAGGAGCGAGGGTAAAGAGGGTCTTTCCACTCCTGTCTTTCTGGGGACTAAATAAGGATGGTAACAAAAACCATGCCAGGCACCGTTCTAAGCATTTTACACATATTAATCATTTAATCCTCACAATAACCCACAACCAATTCCCACTGAGTCGACTCCAACTCATCTTGACCCTGTATGTGTCACAGTAGAACTATGCCCCACAGGGTTTTCAGTGGCTGATTTTTTGGAAGTAGATCACCAGGCCTTTCTTCCAAGGAGCCCCTGAGTGGATCAGAACCTCCAACCTTTTGATTAGCAGCTGAGCACATTAACTTCTTGCACCACCCAGGGTCTCCCAACCGCAGGTAGCTGCTGCTGTTATTCCCATTTTACAGAGGACTCTGAAGCTTAGAGAAGTGAACTGTCTTGTCCAGGGTCACCCAACTAGTGAGAGACTGCGCCAGGCTGCCGGCTCCATCCATGCCCTTAAGCCGTGTTCTTGCTGTCTTTTGGGTTGGAGATAAGTCTCCACTGGTGTGATGTCTTCACTTCCCATTCAGCGCAGCCAGCCACCGTGTTTATGGAGCCCCTATGAATATGGCACAATGCTAGGCCCTGGAGGACTCAGCATTAGCCAGATAAGGCCCACGCCCTCCAGGAGCGGGCCCAGGCTGGTGGAGACCTGCCCAAGTCAACAGGCCCTAACAATGCGACATGATAAGGGCTGGTCACTGGGGAAGGGCCCTGAGAGGGGTTGGCTGTGGATCTCTGAGGCACCCTTCTGCATCTGCAATTCTAAGGAGCCACTCTCCCGACATTCACTGACAGAAACTTCTGAGTCCAAAAGTCTCTGATTACAACATCCTTTGAAGGAACAGCCTATGACCCAACCTTCAGGGCTTCCAATCTTCTATGATTCAACATACAAATTGTGACAAGGGAAGGCCCTCAAATATACCCAACACTTAGCCAAGAGGCACAGCAGCCCAACCCAGGCCAGGCCCAGAAGAGAGGGGCACTTTTCCTGCCCAGGCCCTGGGTCTGCTGGTGAGGGGCCTGGAGCCCGGGTGGGATGCTGAGAGCACACTGGCTGTATAATGTGCCTCTGGTTGTTTCCACAGCAGCTGCTGCTACAGCCCACGTGGACTGACCTCTCGCCAGCACAGGGCTGTGGCTCAGCCTGGGCAAGCCTAGGAGGGACAGAGGAGCATGCCAGGCCTTGCCCTCAGGGACCTTCAGAGTAGCTGAGGAACCGGACAAGACCAGGCCCTGTGCAGTCCAGGCTGGAGGCTCGTGGGGGGCACCCGTGTAGTCCAGAGACTTCCCTGAGGCCAAGGCCAAGGTGGGGGTAGGGTGCCTGGTGTCCCACTGTTGGCTTGAGTGTTCTGCTTCCTAACACTGCTCACGGTAGATTGTGTCCACTGCAGAGACACAGGACACTTAGCCACAACAAAGTTCTGGGGTCTGGCCACTGGGGAAGGTGGAGAGGCCAGGGCCAGAACCTAAATGTTCCAAATCCCAGCCCTGCATTTTAAGCCAGCTCTACACAGGACTCCTGTGTCCACGCATCTGGAGAAGGACAGCTTCTCCCTCTACCCAGGCATTCCCCGGTCCGGCCCTCTTTCCAGAACTCCCTCAGGGGCTCCCTCAGCCTTCCCTCACTGGCCCAGCAGCCTTCTGGGTGGGAGAGGAGGGAGCCTGGCCTAGGATCCGCATCCGCCGGATCCTGGGGCCTTGCTTCCTGCCAGGAGTCCCCACTCAGGTGGGCTCCCATCTGGGAGGCACCTCTCAAGCAGCAGCAGCTGGTAGGTTCCGTCTCATGCCTTCCCCAGTGAGAGTAGAGGGATAGCCAGGTGCATTCAGTGCCCACTATGTGCCAGGCCTGGGCTGGGCCCTCAGAACACAGGTGTCTGGGGCCAAGGCCCAGCCTTTGAGAAGTGCCCAGTATGCCCAAGAGGAGAAACTCATACTACTGCCTGGGCACATACACCCAGTAGGTGCTCAAGTAATAGTTCTAGAACTGAACTGAAACTTTGACAAAGCAAAGTGCAATGGGCTTGGCAGACTCCACCACCCCATAACCCCTCCCTGTCCCCACCCTGGGGCTCCCGATGCCCCAGGGATGCAGGGGTTCAGGGTAAGGAGAGTCTGCTGCTCCCAAAGGCTCTCATGTCTTGTATCAACTAGCATTCATGCAGCACCTACTGTATGCCTAACCCTGTTCTGGGTGGAGGGCCAAAGAGATCACGGTTACTGAGTTTGGGGGGAGATCAGAGCAGCACCCATCACTGCCTTCCAAGAAGGAAACGCGGGGCCTAAAGAAAATTTGAAGGGAAAAGTCTTTACAGATGGAGGGAATGGTCAGCGCCGAGGCCAGCAGGTGTCCGGAAACCACTCGGTGGGGGTTGCTGTGGCTGCAGGGTGGCATGCACCCCCCTTAAAGGGGCAACGAGAGCAAGCAGGGTCTCGAGACCATTTCAGAATGGCAGGGCAGGACAGCTGGCCCATCAGGTCACTGGAAACATTGAATCCCAAGCTCCAGGGGCTTGTCCAGGGGCACACAGCACAGGGTGGCCCCAGGACGCCAAAATGTCCAGCCAAATCGTGCAGCAAGGACGTAGGGGTGACAGACAGGCCCTTTGAGGGTGGGAGTCCCCAGGCCCAGGTGGGCCAGAGCCGGTCGGAGAGGCCTGTCGTTGGCCTGCCCCTCCTAAGCAAGGAAACCTCTTTCTCTTTTAGGGAGTGCAAAGGTTAGTTATACCCAGGACACGCAGGCGGGCGGGGCAGAAACCTGGGAGGCCTCGGGGGTGCGGTGGCAGGAGCGGGCTTACCTGCTTCCCGCCACCGGGGCGGGGCGGGAGGAGGAGCCGTACCCACAACCTGCGGACGGCCAGGCGGCCAGCTGGACAGACACTCGCGGGGGGACCGGACGGGTCGTGGGGGGCCCGGAAGACTGGGGAGAGCGAACAAACAAACTTGGCGAGAGGAGTGACCTGGGGGCCGGGGGCGGAGTCGCGGGCGGCGCGGGGAGGGGAGAGCGCGGCGGCAGCGGCGGCCCAGGAAGCGCAGCGCACCGCCCACCCATCCGGGCCCAGCGGCGTTGCGGGCAGAGGCAGGCTGGGCCGGGGGCTGCTGCGCCTTGACCCCCACCCCGATCCGCAGCCCCCAGCCCGGCCCCAAGATGATGAAGAGGCAGCTGCATCGCATGCGGCAGCTGGCCCATACGGGCAGCCTGGGACGGTGAGTGCCAGCGCCCCCCTCCGCGGGACCTGCGGGGACTAGGGGGTGGGGGAACACCGGGGGTGGGGGAAGCTGAGGACATCTGGACAGTCACTCTCTCACCCACCAGAGCCCTGCTCTTCTCCTCCCCCCGCCTCCCAGGCAGCGCTGACGGGCAGGCGTGGGACTTGGGGGGAAGGAGCGCCCCCCACCTCTGACCGGAGGGGGTGCAGGGTGAAAAGCGTTCTGACCGAGGACGCTGGGTCTTACTGCCTCTATGAGCCTCTAAGGGGACCATCCTCCCTGGCCTCACTTGTCCCCTCTGGTCAATGGGAACAGTTAACCATCTCTGGTGGCTGGGTAGGGGAGGAGGAAGGGGAGATAAGGTCCCAGATCCTGGAGGAGGGGAGGAGATGGGTCCTGGCCTGGTAGGAGGAGGGGTCTGCCCCTGCCCCACTGTGTCGCTCCACCCCCCACCCCCAGCCCAAAGGCCTCCTGCTTCTCAATCTTGCTTCTGCTTTTCCCAGACTCAGGTGGAACCATCCCCAGGTCTCTGGGTTCCTACCTTAGGGCCTGAGCTGGGGAGTGAAGGCCGGAAGTTTGGGGAGCCTCTGAGGGCCTGCCTTCTCTCCTCTTCCCCAAGCATCAGGAGTTCCCTTCTCTGGGCTCAGGGTGGGGCTGGGTGTCCAGAGACCTGCTTCTAGTCTCATGCCCGTGTGAGCCTGGCAGTCAGGCTGCCTTACTCTGAGCCTCAGTGTCCCCATGTGTCCCAGGCCAGGGCCAGGCTGACGGCCTGCCTGCCAGTGCCGTCCTGAGGCCTGTGGGGCTGACAGGCCAAGAATCTGAGCTTCAGCACTTCCCGTTCTTGGGGCCAGCCTATGCTGCCTCTCCCTGGGTGCACTGAGGATTTGGGGGACGGGCAGAAGAGAGAGGCTGTGTGCCCTGTGTCCCAAAGCTGGGCCCTGGGGTGGCTCCCCTGGCTCTCCTTCAGTTTCTACCACCCTCTCTCAGGGCACAGCCCTGGGTGGAGGAGGACAAGGTCTGGTATCCTATTCCCGCCCATGGAATGTGCTCCGACTGGGATGAGGCAGACTGGCTGCCCAGGGCAGGCCCTACCTGGGAGAGGCACAGGAAGCAACTGGGGTCCAGGTGCCCTGCTAGGGGGGCAGAGGGAAGCAGGGGGCCCCTAACCTGGGCCAGCCCAGCAGAAGCTCTCTCTTTCCCACAGCACCCCGGAAACAGCCGAGTTCCTTGGTGAGGACTTGCTGCAGGTACATGTCCAGGCGGGCAGCGGGTGGGAGGGCAGGTCTGAGCAGCTGTCAGCAGGGGGAGGCCACTTGGGGGCCTGGGTGGAGTCGTTCCCCAGGCTGTTGGCCCTGGGTCCCCAGGAGGAGGGAAGGAAAAGGTGATTCCTGCTCTGGAAAAGAATAAGGCAATGGAGGTGGAAGGCGCCCTGGTGACGCAACAGCTAAGTGCTCAGCTGCTAACCAAAGGTTGGCAGTTCGAACCCACCCAGCCGCTCCATGTAAGAAAGACCTGGCAATCTGCTCTGGTAAAGATTATAGCCTACAAAACTCTATGGGGCAGTTCTACTTTGTAATACACAAGGTTGATAGGAGTCAAAAATCGACTTGACAGCACCACCAACAGAGGTGGTAGGGGACCACAACCTCTCGTGATTCATAGCCCCTTGCACCCTCTCCCAGGTGGAGCAGCGGCTGGAGCCAGCCAAGCGAGCATCCCACAATGTCCACAAACGGCTGCAAGCCTGTCTGCAGGGCCAGAGTGGAGCAGACATGGACAAGCGGGTGGTGAGTAGGGGTACCAGGGAGGAGGAGACAGGGAGGGAGACCTGTGTCTGCATCACACTGCTGAAGTAAGCCATGTCCCCTCTGTCCAATGGGGGAGTGAGATGAGGGCTGGGGTGTCCCTGCCAGGCAGAGCCAAAGGCACTGAGAGGGTAGAGGCTATTGTCCCAGGGCTCTTTGGGGACTTCACTCCTGGGATCCTACCTCTTCCCGCAGTCCCTTCTTGACCCCGCCTTCCACTGCACCAACCCCCATGAGCCAAGGCCAGGCCTCTGACAGCACCTGAACTTGTCTGTTCAATCAGCCCCCAGAGCTGGCTCTCTCAATTGGAGCAGCTGGGAGGGCTTCCTGGAAGAAGTGACATTTGGGCTGGATTTTGAGTAATAGTCGCTAATATTAATCAACAGCCAGCATTTATTGACCTATTACTGTTAGACTGTTGCTAAACTGTGTTCGTGCATCGCCTCAATCCTGCAAGAGCCTGAGGAGAGGGCTACCTTTATTAGCCAGCCCTGTTTCAGAAACGAGGAAACAGGCTTAAAGAGTTAAAGTTACTTGCCCAAGGTCCCACAGCTAGGAAGTGTCAAAGCTGGGATTTGAACCCTGGACTCTCTGATCTGGGTTGGACAGTATGGGACATGTTTTGGAATCAGTCAACACTTCACGTTGGCTAGAGCACTGGGGAGGAAGTGCAGGGTTAGTGGGAAGCCAGGGAGGGTTTTGAGCGCAGCAGTGGCCAGGTCAGCCATATACGCCCAAGCCAGGGGAGGGAGCCCCGAGGCCAGGTGAGTTCCTAGTTCCTCTGTTCTCCCTCCACTCTGTGACCCTGGGCCAGCTCCCTGCCCTCTCTGATCTCAATCTGCCATCTGGGACGAGGCTTGCTCATTCTTCCCTGCCCAGTAAGTGACTTCTGGGAGGAGGAAGGAGCCCTGGTGGCACAGTGGGTAAGAGTTCGGCTGCTAACCAAGAGGTCAGCAGTTCGAATCCACCAGCTGCTCCTTGGAAACTCTATGGGGCAGTTCTATTCTGTCCTGTAGGGTCACTGTGAGTCAGAATTGACTCAACAGCCGTGAGTTTGGTTTTGGTTTAGCAAGGAAGAGGAAGGGAGTCCCTGGGTAATGCAAATGGTTAACATGCTCTGCTACTAACCAAAAGGTTGGCAGTTCGAGTCCACCCAGAGGCACCTTGGAAGAAAGGCGTGGCAGTCTACTTCCCAAAAATCAGCCTCTGAAAACCCTATGGAGCACAGTTCTACTCTGCCATATATGGGGTTGCCATGAGTCAGAGTCAACTCCACAGCAGCTGATTGTTTTTTTTGTTTGTGTATTTGTTTGGGAGGAGGAAAGGGGACCCCAGACTGATAGGGGCTTTGTACACCATCATGGGGAGATGTCACTCCCACCATGCCTTGTCACCATGCTGTTTCCACTCCCCACCCCACCCCCGGGACTGTGGCCCTCCTAGGTTCCCTTCTCCCCCGCCCATGCCCAGTGCCTCCCGTGGGTCTCTATCTTCAAGGGGCTTGCTGGGTGCTTGGGTAGGGTGGAGGGAGGCTGAACAGGTGAGTGCACACGTGGACACACACGTGCTCCCGTTCATGCCGACCCTGCCCCCCCACCCCCTGCAGAAGAAGCTGCCCCTCATGGCTCTGTCTGCTGCAATGGCTGAGAGCTTCAAGGAGCTGGACCCTGACTCCAGCATGGGGTAAGCACAGGGCAGGGGCCTGGCCTCTACCTGGGGATACCAAGAAGGGATCTGGATGAGAGGAGGTCCAGATCAGCAAGTGTGACCAGGCTGGAGGGGTGACCAGGCTGGGGATAGGGTCCAGGCCAGAGAGGGTGGCTCAGTGAAGACAGAGCAAAGACAGGAGGGGCAGGAGGTAATGGGGAGTAGGGCCCCACCGAGTGTTCCAAATGGGACAAGGGCCTGGGCCCACTGGGTGCTATGCCCCACAGGAAGGCTTTGGAAATGAGCTGTGTCATCCAGAACCAGCTGGCCTGCATCGTGGCCGAGTTTGAGATGGCCCTGGAGAAGGATGTCCTACAGCCGCTCAGCAGACTGAGTGAGGTGACCTGCCCCCCGCCCCAGCCTCCAGCTTTCTCAGCCTCTAGCACCTGCCTCCCCCAGCCACTGAGCCCTCCCTCATGTCTGCCCCCAGGAGGAGCTGCCAGCCATTCTTAAGCGCAAGAAAAGCCTGCAGAAGCTGGTGTCCGACTGGAACACCCTCAAGAGCAGGTAGGAGCCACAGCCGCTGGGTGGGGTCCGCACCTCCATCAGCCCTTCCTCACACCACTGCAGTGTGTGTACTTGTGCACGTGTCTGATCCGTGGGAACACGTGCTGAGGGTACACAGGAGTTATGCCAGCTGGTGCTGGGGGTAGCCCCAATGCCTAGGATAGCCATAAACCATCCTCTGGGATCCCTGTGGTGGGAGGGCCCCATCCTCCACTCAGGAGCTGAGTGGCTGTGGTCACCAAGCCTGCCACCCCGGGGGCGCCCCAGAGCACTTATGACCCGGGCTGGGCCAAGGCCAGTGGGACTGTCTACAAACCCCAGAATCTGTGTTCTCAGGCATGTGGAGGGGGCACTGGGCTCTGGCTAGTGACCACCCCACTTTGGGACTGTCCCCAGGCTCAGTCAGGCAGCCAAGAACTCAGGTGGTGGTCAAGTCCTAGGAGGCGTACCGGGCAGTTACAGCCACATCACCACGGCCAACAAGGTGGAGACCCTGAAGGAGGAAGAGGAGGAGCTGAAGAGGAAGGTGGAGCAGTGCAAGGTGAGGGGCACTGGGGGCTCCCTGGATGGGGTGTGGCAGGGGTGGTGACTGTCCCCATTTCACAGGTGAGAAAACTGAAGCTCAGAGATGATGTGACCTTCCCAAGGCCACATGGGAGGCAGCAGAACCATGATTTGAATCCAGGCTGTCAGACTCCAGGGTCCATGTACTTAGCTGTTACCTCGTAGCCTCTTCTGTCTACACGGCAGGCATAACACCTTGGAGGGACTTGGTCTGTCCACCAGAGCCTCAGTGTGTTTGCTAAGTGAATGAATGAATGGTGTTTGCTGAGTGAGTGAATGAATGAAGAGTAGATAATGCAAGGCACTGTGGTAAGGATATGGGGACACAGAAGCGAGGGCTAGAAGCCGTCAAAGCTCTCAAGAACGTTTGAAGGGGTTTCTGTGGGCCAGCCCTAAGTAAAAAACTTGGCAGAGAGGGCAGAGCTCGTGTACCAGCTATGTGACCTTGTACAAGCCACCAACCCCTCCAAGCCTCAGTTCCCCCTCCGGGACCCCAGCCTCACAGTGTAAGCCCTTTTCTCTCTCCCGCAAGGATGAATACTTGGCTGACTTGTACCACTTTGCCACCAAGGAGGACACATATGCCAACTACTTCATCCACGTAAGTCTAAGACCAGGGCCATCCAGAGCTCAGGGGGTGGATGCCAGAGCCGAGGACAATTACGACCCTCTTTGAGATGTTGGCAGGGAGGTGTCTGCTCTCCTAGGCTCTGGGAGAGGAGGCTCAGCTTCCCTTGCCTTCCCCTGGGGGTGTCCCCTGGTCCCCATAGATCCTGGAGATACAGGCTGACTACCATCGCAAGTCCCTGAGCTCCTTGGACACAGCCCTGGCTGAGCTGAGGGAGAACCATAGCCAAGCAGGTATGAACTTAGACGGGCTGACGTGCACCCCATTCTGCCCTGCGCAGGGTGTGGTTAGAAGCTTGGACTTCCTCCTGAGGGGCACTAGGGAGCCATGGGTGGTTCTGAGCAGGGGAGGGCTGGATTAGGTTTGTGATGGAGAGATTGTTCTGGCTGCTGTGTGAGGATGGAAGGAAGGGAACAGGACTGGAGCCAGAGACTTGTTAGGAAGCAGAAGGGAGGTGACGGAGGACAGGACACGGGCAGACACAGTGGAGGTGGACAGATTCAGGAGATACATGGGATGATTTTAGGGTGTGTGGCAGGAATGGTTGGGTGGGAAGTGGTACTTTGGCCAAAGCAATGGTCCCTTGAGAATATCTGGGGGTGCTCCTGTATGCCCTGGCCTGGCTGTCCAGGGGTGGGAGGACCCTGGGCCGCTGATCTATCTCATCCCTGCAGACCCCTCCCCCTCGATGATGGCCGCCCCCTTCTCCAGGGTGTATGGGGTGTCGCTGGGAATCCACCTGCAGGAGCAGGGCCGGGACATCGCCCTGCCCATCGAAGCCTGCGTCGTGATGCTGCTTTCTGAGGGCATGAAGGAAGAGGTGGGGCCCCCATTCTGTCACAGACCTCCTACATGCCACCCTGCCCTGGTGCCTGTAATTCCACCGTTAGAGCACAGGACCGGGGAGAAAGCCTGGCCTCCTGCTGCTGAATTGACACTAGCTCCCTCTGAGGAGTCCCTGGTTGGTGCAAATGGTTAAGCGCTCAGCTATTAACTGAGAAGTTGGCAGTTCGAATCCTCCCAGAGGTACCTCAGAAGAAAAGCCTGGTGATCTGCTTCCCAAAGATCACAACCATTGAAAACCCTGTGGAGCAGTTCTACACTTACGTACCTGGAGTTGCCGCGAGTCGGAATCAACTCTGTGGCAACTGGTTTCCCTCTTAATGTTGCTCATGTGTGCCCGGCACTGTGCTCTATGCCCTTGGCATTAGTTGCTCTATTTAATTACCCAAGTGACCTTAGAGAGAGCCCTCACTGGCTCCCTTTTACGAGGGGGAGACAGAAGCCAAGCGGTAGATGTGCCCAGAGTCACATGAGAAGGTGGTGTTGGAACCAGTGTCTCCAGAGGGCAGCCACTGCAACCTACCGGTCCCCCGGTCCTTGGCATCTTCAGTTGTTAGCGCATCCATGCCTTTCCTGAGGATGGACCTTGTCACAGTTACCTAGTGCTCCTATAACAGAAATACCACAAGTGGGTGGCTTTAACAAACAGAAATTTATTCTCTCACAGTTTAGGAGGCTAGAAGTCCAAATTCAGGGCGCTGTGTCTGGGGAAGGCTTTCCCTCTCTGTCAGCTCTGGAGGAAGGTCCTTGTCTCTTCAGCTTCTATTCCTTGGCTTCTTGGTGATCTTCGTGTGACATGGCATCTATCTTCCCCTCTCTCTGCTCGCTTGCTTGCTTGTTGAATCTCTTTTATATCTCAAAAGAGATTGATTTAAGACACGCCCTACACGAATACTGTCTCATTAACATAACAAAGAAAACCCATTCCCAAATGGGATTATACCTACAGGAGTTAGGATTTACAGCACATATTTTTGGGGACACAATTCAATCCATAACAGGCAAACCAAAAACCAAGCCTGTTGCCATTCCTATTCATGGTGACTCCGTGTGTGTCAGACTGGAGCTGAGCTCCATACGGTTTTCAATGGCTGATTGTTCAGAAGTAGATCACCAGGGCTTTCTGCCAAGGGGCCTCTGGGTAGACTCGAACCACCAACCTTTTGGTTAACAGCAAGCGCGGGTGCGCCACCCAGGGACTCCCTGAGGATGGACCTTAGGAAGCAGAAAATACTCGGAGGCAGACTTAGGCTTTTCTTGGATCTCCTTCCGCCAGCTCCTCCTGGACTTCCCACCCTGGACTTTGCTCAGGATTCTAGACCGTGGAGTTGAAGGATCCATAGACACTGTGGTGGCCACTCTGCCCACAGACCAGGGGGACACTGAGGCCCAGAGAGAGCCAGTAACCCCCCCCCAGACCATGAGCAAGCCAGGGCCTCCCAGCCAGAGTGCCTGCCCCCTCCTCTGTGGCACCCACTTGCTTCCTCTCCCACCCAGGGCCTCTTCCGCCTGGCCGCTGGGGCCTCAGTGCTGAAGCGCCTCAAGCAGACGATGGCCTCGGACCCCTGCAGCCTGGGGGAGTTCTGCTCTGACCCCCACGCCGTAGCAGGTGCCTGTTCCGAGGAACCCTGGGGAGAGTGGGGGGCTTCCCCACAGCTACCAGAAATGACCCCAGGGTGGCTTGGCTTACAGCCTGGTGTTCTGCTAAGAAGACACTGGAACAGACACAGGAGTTCTTTCTTAAGATAGGGTCCATGCTGAACCCCCAACGTTATTTTGAAACTGTGTGTGTACGTCTTTCTGGGGACAAGATCGCTAGCCTTCATCATTTCCTCAGAGGGGGCTGTGGCCCAAGGAAATGATCAGACCTAGACACTTTAGTGTGAACAAGGGCTAGAGGTTCCTTTCAGATGGAGAGAGCTAGGGACCGGGAGTCGGGGGGAAGGCTGGGGGGTTGTCTCTGACCTCCTCCTCTTCCCCTTCAGGTGCCCTCAAGTCCTATCTGCGGGAGCTGCCAGAGCCCCTGATGACCTTTGACCTCTATGATGATTGGATGAGGGCAGCCAGGTTAGGATGTGGAAGGCAGGGAGGACAGAAAGGAGGAGGCTGTGGCCCTAGGCTTGGCTCACCATGTCTCTCCCCGTCCTCAGCCTGAAGGAGCCAGGGGCCCGGTTGGAGGCCCTCCGAAAGGTATGCAGCCGCCTCCCCTACGAGAACCTCAGCAACCTCAGGTGAGCCCGAGCCCAAGCCCACCTCCCCCCTCAGCCCTCTGCCGGGGCCAAAGCCCAGTAGGACCTGGGGCCCTGGGTTTGAGTCCTGGCCCTGCCATCCCATGCTGCATGATCTGAGGTAGACCTCAGTGCCCCTTGGGGCTTAGTTTCCTATTTGTAAGGCAGTTGGGAGTTGGGCAGGACAGGGCACCCCAAACTTCTGCCATGTCTGTAGCCCTTTTTTACTATCACTTTCTGAAATATCTGATTTAAATGGACTCGCTCTTTGAACTTCCTTTAGCATCGTCCTGAGCACTATTCCTGAAAACACACCTTTGATGTGCTAGTCGTATTTTTTTATACTAGTTGTTGGAATAAACATGTACCTTGAGCCTTTAAAGCCAGACCGCCTGGCTTCAAGCCCCACCTCTGCCCCTGCGTGGCCTGGGCAGGTGACTTAACCTCTCTGTGCTTCAGCATCCCCATCTGGAAACTGTGGATCAGAGCAGTCCCTGCCCCATACAGTGGCTGTGAGGATTCCCGGCTTAGCTCAGTGCCTGACACATAGTTGGCGCTCAGTAGATCAGCTAAGTTAACTATTAAATATTTAAAAGCCATCCTGTGTGATGTCATCCAGCAGTGTCTTTCCCACTCCAGAAGCCCTGGGCTCGGAAATTCTCAGACCCCTGGGTAGGGCATTCGTGGCCCAAGATGCTGTGACCTGACCCAAGTCCACCATCCATCCCCTAGGTACCTGATGAAGTTCCTGGCCCGGCTGGCTGAGGAGCAGGAGGTGAACAAGATGACACCCAGCAACATCGCCATCGTCCTGGGGCCCAACCTGCTGTGGCCGCCAGAGAAAGAAGGGTGAGGGGCCACAGGCTGGGGTAAGGTGGCGGAGGAGAGAGGCAGCCCCCACCCCAATCTCCTGCTGCTTATTGTCCCCCTGGGCCTCGGTTTCCCCAGCAGTTCCTATTCTCCAGGTGGCATGAGGACCCCAAAGGGCTTTGGAATGGGCATGCTGGGTAACAGCATCAAGGGGTGCTTGGCAGCCTGGTGCAGGGGCCTGAGAGCCCCGAGATCTGGTTCTAGCTCTCCATTCCACCTTCCAGAGATGGGCCTGGGAGAATCACTCTCTGGACCTCCATTTTCTCATCTGTGAAATGGGGAGCAATTACACAAGCTTTGAGGGTGTTTGCTTTGATGATTAGATAATGGCTGGGGAAATATTTTATCAACTGTAAAGCACCGTGATACGTGAAGGGTCATTATTATTCATCTGGCCATAGATGGCAAAGATATTTCATTTCATGTGCTGAGCGTAGATGATTGGTAGGGGCTGCCTAGAGCTGAGAACTGTGAGGAGAAGAGTGCCATGATAGACTAGTGATGCCTGTCATGGGTAAAGAATGGGGAAGTGTGGCATGTGAGCAACAAATTTGCCATCAACTGGTGGTCTGTGAGCATTTTGAGAACAAGGACTCTTGTGGGATTCATCCTTGTGTCCCCAGTGTCCGGCACAGGGCCAAACAAGAGTTGGGGGTCACTACAAGTTTGCCAAATGGATGACTCAATTTCTTTCCCTTTTTGTCCCAGGGACCAGGCTCAGCTAGATGCAGCCTCAGTGTCTTCTATCCAGGTGGTGGGCGTGGTCGAGGCTCTGATACAGAATGCAGACACCCTCTTCCCTGGAGGTAAAGCTCCTGGCTTTGTGAATGGCCCCATTGTGCCCTTCCTCTGCCCACCTCAGTGCCCTGCAGACTCAGGTTCAATTCCTGGCAGCCCCATGAACTCACCCTGAGATCTGAGGAAATTGCTTCTCCACTCTGAGCCTCAGTTTCTCCTCTGTAAAATGGGGATGCTACCACCTGCTTTGTGGGATTGATTAAGGCTCACGTGAGAGTGGAAAGGCAAAATATGGTCTGAATAATTTCAGGGGAAAGGGTATGTGGCCCTGCTTCTGGCTGAGGTGGGAGGCTGGAAAAGGCTCTGGAAGTTAAAACATACTCCCTCCTATCTCTAGACATCAACTTCAACATATCAGGCCTGTTCTCAGCCCTTGCCCCCCAGGACAAGGTCAGCAACAGGCCGGCCTCTGAGGAACTTCCAGCCGTTGCTGTGCCCACCCCGGCCACCACCCTGGCTCCAGCTCTGGCTCCAGCTCTGGCTCCAGCCCCAGCCCCGACCCCCGCCTCAGTAGCTACTAAGGAAAGGTGAGAACTAAGGGATCTGAATGGCCCCTGGCCTGACCCCGTAGGCCCCCAGCCTTGAGGCACCATCTCTCAGGACTGCCAATTGCATTTTAGGAGATATAATTGTTGATATTTTTATCCCAAAGACCAGGTCTCCCAGCAGAATGAAGACTCAGAGGTGCTATTCCTCCCAGCCTCTGACTTGTTCCCTCATTTGTTGAATGACTGTTTACCAAGCATCTACTACGTGCCAGGCAGTGTTTTAGGCCCTGGCATTTAGGGAAATAAGGAGATTCTCATTCTGGGATATAGAAATCCTTCTAGTCTTCCATTTGTTCCTTTCAGTCTGGAAGGAAGGGCTGTGTAGATCGTGTGGCCTCCATACGAGGCAGGTGTTGTTCACTCTACTGCAGACTGCTGGTGCTCAAACCATGAATTTCCTCAGACAAGCAAGACAAACAAACGCTGCCCTTAGAACTTGCCTTCCAGGGGGCAAGAGAGATAGGTAAGAAACAAATACACTGATGAACACGTAGTGTAAGGTCAGGTAGTAGAGAACAAAACACAAACCCACTGCCATCGAATTGATTCTGACTCATAGCGACCCTGTAGGACAGGGTAGAACTGCCCCATAGGGTTTCCAAGGAGCAGCTGGAGGATTCAAACTGCTGACCTTTTGGTTAGCTGCCAAGCTCTTAACTACTGCACCACCAGGGCTCCAGGTAGTGGAGAGAAGGCTGTAAAAGCAAGTGAAGCCAGATAAGGGGATAGACAGAGAACCACTTCACTGCAGGGTCAGGAACGGCCTGCCTGACTTGGTGACAACTGAGCAGAGGCCTGGAAGAAGTGAGGAATGAATGACTACATGGACTCCCTTCTGCTCCTCACCCACTCTGGCTTCTAGATCACGTGGAGGCCGAGAGCCGAGGCCCTGCTTTCTACTTCCCATCCTGGCCCCATCCTGGCCCTACCTACTGGGTAGGCGGGGAGCCCTCTTGGCTCACGGAGGACCATGGACACTGTCTCAGGGTCACAGAGCGACCAGGGACTCAGTGGATGCAAACCGTGGCTAATTCCAAAAGTGTCCTCCCAGGGGGCCAAGCCTGGGAACAGATCCCAGGCACAGCCACAAGGCAGTGGGGAACAAGTCCTGGGAGGACCCAAACTCCGCCTGGAGACCCCTAGGGGATGGCCAAGCCTGACCTGACCTGACCCTCCCCTTCCCTGGGCAGGACAGAGTCCGAGGCGCCCCCCAGACCAGCCTCCCCCAAGGTCAACAGGAGCGCCCCAGAGGCAGCTGCCCCAGCAGAGGACGTGACTCGGAGGGGTGAGTTGGCTGTGGGAAGGGCTGGGGGAACAGAGGGCAGGCAGGGAGAGGGGGTGGGCAGTCCCAAATCACCCCATATTTATAGCCCAGCCAGGAGGCCCAGGAATCAAGGTGGTTAAGGGCTCAGGATTCACCACCTGGCATTTTGGGTTCAGATGCCGGCTCTGCCTCTGCCTTCCTGGCTGTGTGACTTTGGGCCCAGCTTTCTCCTCTGTGTAATGGAAACAATAGCTTCACTTACCTTGTAGGGCTGTTTGGAGAATTAGTGATACAAGGAGAGCACGTGGCTCATACCTGGCATGTAGTAAATGCTCGATAAAGGGTAGCCATTGTGAGTGTTAGGGACACTGGAGTCTGGTCCTCAAGAAGCCCAAAGATCACACAGTGAAGAGAGGATAGAATCTTCAAAGGGCAATGAAGGAGGGGAGGCGGAGATGGAGGTGGCAAGAAGCCTGGCGCCTTCTCAGCCCCTCTGGTGCACTCACCTGTTGACTTGGTCCAAAGTCAGACAGGTGAGAAGGCCAAGGGTTCAGGTAGCTAGTCATAACCTGCTCCTGGCCGGGCCCTGAGGCATTGGCGTTCTCGGCCTGGGTGTGCACTGTAGACTCACGAGTAGATGGAGCAGCTACAGGAGCCGCTGGATCAGCAGGAGCTAGGAAGTCTAACAGGGAATGCTTCCTGGAAGAGGGAGTGCGGCAGATTATTCACTCACCTGAGCACAGTGCTTTAAGTGCCGGAAGAGCTATCACCGCTTCGCCTGGGCTGGTCCTCATGTCAGTATTGGGAGGTCGCGTCTTCCTCCCTGTCTTACTGGTGAGGAAACTGAGGCTCCAGGGACAAGTGATTCACCCCGGGTCCCACAGTGAGTGGAGGCAGAGCTGAGACCAGAGTCCAGACTCCCGGCCCCACCCTGTCTCTCTCTACCTCACAGCTTGGCTCGGTGTGGTAGCTTTTTGAGAGCTGGGTCAGATCATTCTGGTGGGCTTCTGAGAGGAGTGAGCAAGACCCAAGAGTCATGAAGGAGGGGGATGGCAGCATTCATTTATTCAGCTAACATGACTGGCCTACCCTGTGCCAGCACCCTGCCAGGCAGCAGCCCCTGAGCTGCCCTCACTTGGCTTACGTTCTAGTCAGGGAGACAGGCAGTAATCAAGCAAAAGAAGAACTGATGAGATAATTTCAGAGTGTAAAAAGTCATGTGAAGAAAACAAAACTGGAGAGTGACAGAGAAACTGGGGTATGGGAGGTGGCTACTGTAACTAGGGTGGTTGGAGGGGTACTCTGAGGGGTGAAGGGACATGAAAAGAAACCTGAATGAGGAGGAGGCAGCCACAGAACAGTGTTTCCGGCAGGAAGTATGGCAGATACAAAGGTCCTGAGGCAGAAGTGAGCTTGGTGGATATACCACAGGCAATGTGGGTGTTTAACTTCCCCCTTTCCTTCCTCCACAGTCAAACGCCCAGCACCTGCCCGGCCCATCATGCCGCCCCCCCAGGTCTCCAGCAACCGCTCCTCCCCTCCAGCCCCACCCCTGCCCCCTGGTTCTGGCAGCTCTGTGACTCCCCAGGCTCTGCCCCGCCGGCTGGTTGGCAGCAACCTCCGGGCCCCCACAGTGCCACCCCCGTTGCCCCCCATGCCTCCCCAGCCTGCCCGGCGCCAGAGCCGGCGTTCACCAGCCTCCCCGGGTCCAGCCTCCCCCAGCCCAGGCTCTTTAAGCATTCCTGTGCAGGGGGACCTGGGGGTGGCCACAGAGGAGGGAGAGGACCCTGAGGCTATAGGTAGAGTCACTACTCCCCCACCTGTCCCCCCTCAGCCACAGCCCAGGAGCCTCGCCTCAGAGACTGACTGAGCTCGTGGCTGCTCCCTGACCAGCCGCTGGTACCTCCTTCCTCCCCACCTTGCCCTCCCAGGACACAGCACTCGCCACTCCCAAAGGGTGAAGGCCTCCAGCCTTTGCCCACAAGTGCCTCGGTACCCCCGCTGGGCTGGCCCCCATGGCGAAGAGGACTCAGGACAGCGCCCCCCCCACTTCCAGACTTTCTCCTCCTCCACCCTGGGCTTGGGGGGCCCCACCCCCAACTCCCCACTCTGGCAGGGGAGCACCAGAAGGAAAGAGAGGGTTGCCTGCTCCCACAGGACTTTTATTTTTCTCTTGCCGAAGTATTTTTTGTAAGGCTGGTAAATAAATTATTTTGGACAAAACTGGAGCAGCAGCCCAAATGATAGTTTTATTTTCTGTCCTTGAAATAAAGAAGCCATTTTCATAAAGGGGAAACAATTATGGATTCTTTGCCTCCTTTCTTTCTTCCTGCCTGAAATAATAACACGCCATCGTTTTTAGCACTGACAAGATGCACCACACTGTGCTTTTATATGCATCATTTCCATTTCATCTTCTCCCTGTGAAGTAGATACCATTGCCTCTTTTTACAGGGGAGGAGATAGGCTCAGAAAGAGGTGGCCTGCCCAGGTCACACGGCGTGGAGCTACATCCTAGGCAACTTACTTATTATGCTCTTGGTGACCCAGCTTTCTCATCTGTGAGGCGATGTAAGCGTTTCCACCTCTTGGTGGTGTTCTAGGAGTCCCTGGATGCCGCAAATGGCTAGGCGTTCGATTACTAGCCGAGAGGTTGGCGGTTCGAATCCACCCAGAGGTGCCTCAGGAAACAGGCCTGGTGATCTGCTTCTGAAAGGTCACAGCCTTGAAAACCCTATGAAGCAGTTCTGCTCTGCACACATGGGGTCGCCATGAGTCGGAATCAACTAGATGGCAACTAGCAACAAGTGTTTTTGAGGATTAAATGAGACACTCCATGTACAGACCAAAGCACCACCCTTGGCACATAGAAGTGCCCGATGAGTGTTGGCTGCTGCTAATGTTGTTTTCCCCACCCTGCAGTGTGCCCAGAGAAAGCACAGATGGCTCTGTCCACAAGCCCTCTGTGGTGAGAGCTGCTCTGGCCAGAACCCAGGCTAGGTCACTGACTCAGCCCTACCCCCGAGAAGCTCCAACAAGCAGGCAGGCAGAACTGACAATAGAATCTAGAATCTAGACACTGGGAGCCTAGGGGCAGGACAGGACATCTAGTGTG